TATGAGATGCAGCGTGTCAGGTAAGGAAAGAAAAACACAGACTAGGTAGGAAGTCAGGAAGAAGCCGTGCTAAGGGGTTGCGGTAGGTAGCGGTTGTAGTAGGTTGCGGAAACCGTGGCGAGGGGTAAGCTGAATCAGTGGCGAAGGGATGAGGTAGGTGGGTAAGTTGTGGCGAGGAGAATAGGGTAGGTGCAAACAAGCGGAATCCGCGGCGAGGGGTTAAGGTGGGCGGATTAGCTGCGTGAGGGGGGGAAGAATTGTAAAACCATAAAAGCCTTAAGCGTGGAAATGTTATCTATCCGTGGGTGGTATATGAGGTGGTTAAGAAATGATGTTGCGGGCACAATGGGGTCGGGCAAATAGGATGAGGGAGAGAGAGTAGGGAAAGGAAGAGAGCCCTTAAAGCAAAAATAATAATAAAAATGGAAATAGCCAGCCAGCGTGGAAAAAAAATGAAGTCCTGGAGCAAAAAAATAAGTCGAAGCGGGGTGGATGTGGTAGCGAAAAAATGTGAGTTCGTAAATTAGAACATGTATGTTCCGCGTTTTCCAGCGTTTCATTTTTTTCGACCATGGCTGCTTATTTTTAGAATATAGGCATATCTAGGCATTCTTAAATTCCTGCAGTTTTCCAGCGTTTCATTTTTTTCGACCATGGCTGGCTTATTTTTAGATTATAGGCATATATATCTAGGCCAGTGGTTCCCAAACTTTTTGAATAAAATTCTATGGCGGACCCCTTGCAATTTTTTTAACGATTCCCGGTCTTGTGCACTAAAACAAAACATTGAAAGATAACAACATAAATCAATGCATCGTATAGTGAAGCGAACAAACGAATATAAGGCTCAACTCTTATAACATGTATGACATTCAGTCTGTTTCGATATTTGGTAAACATGCAAAAGGCCAACGTCAGCTACAGCTAGTAAACTTGTGATGACAGGAATTGAACTCTCTCTGTGATATCACAGACATACAGCTCTGTGACATCACAATAGGACAGCGTGATTGAGACAAAAAGTGATGAATTAGTGTCTCCAGTGGTGAATGCAAAGCAGCAAAAGGCGACAAACGTGTATTTGCAAATTTGAGCACTTAATTTTTGTATTATTAAGCTATTACAGATTTGTTTCGCGGACCCTCAGAAAGTGCTTCACGGACCCCAATAGGTCCGCGGGCCCTAGTTTGGGAACCACTGATCTAGACATTCTTAAATTCCTGCAGTTTTCCAGCGTTTCATTTTTTTCGACCATGGCTGCTTATTTTTTAGATTATAGGCATATATATCTAGGCATCCTCAAATTCCTGCAGTCTGAAATGCAGACTTCGACGATTTTTTTTTTGTTATCAAATTCGGCAAGTTAAAATCCGATTTTATATAAGAACTTTCTATCTATCAACTTTGTTACGAATGTAACAAGTAAAAATAACCAAAGAAGACTAGGTTATGAGTCACGGAAAATAAAAGTAAAAAGTATGAAGCAGCGCGATGAACTGGTGGTTAAAGTGCTAGAATGAATTGTGTCGGCATCGCAGATTACATTATGTCGGATTCAAATCTCATGTTATCACCCCGCCCAGGGTGTAATGAATTATGTACGCAATGATGATCCAGAAAGATTCCGGTCTTTGCATGTAATAGTAGCCCCTTAACTATGGTCATATGTATGTCAGTGGCCGCGTGTATAGAGCTCTGTACGGTGCGAAAGGCGTTTATAAGCGTCGTATATAAAAGTCGTAAAGCAACCAATACAACGGGATTCGAGGGTTCACTTATAAACCTCTCCTGTAAAATAAACCAACTCCTATCAACCAATTCGGAAATGGCTAGCAATTCGCCGCGTCTAATAATTAACCCGGTCCAATCATACAAGCGCAGTGTTAATCAAATTCTAACATTAAGTGCTATCCTTGTCTAGCAGGTCTTCACCAGCAGCAATGGCGCGGTGCGAGCGTGAAAGAGTTTCACGTTGAGGAATCGCGTTCGAATCCCGGAGGTGGATATAGTCTGGAAGTAGACGGCAGGTCAGGTGATATCATACGAGGCATGTACAAGGGTAGGAAAGTAAGCGTGGGAATGGAGCAATAGACAAAAGGAAGTTGGACAGTCAGGTGGAACAGAAGGAAGAGAAGTTAGGCGTGTGCAAGTCAGTGAGGACCTCGAGAGGAAGCGATAAATAAGATTAGACAAAGAAATGAGGTGGTAACCAGGTAAGAGCGGAGGGATTCGAGGAAATAAATATAAATATTATATATATATATAATCAGGTAGAAGCGGGAGAAGGGCATTACGAAAAAGAGAGGGAAAAATAGTGGGCGAGCAGGGTTCATTCGGAGGTCGCAAGAGGAGATCATTAAGGTGGGGGACAAGCCAGTCGGGTCATACGAGGAATAGAGAAGCGGAGAAAGAGTAAAAACGGGTGGGGGAGCAACAACCTGAAAAAAAAACGCAGCGCTCGGGCAAAACAAATAATAATCTGAGAAGTTATGGTGGATATGCATCGAAGCGAGCGGGTAGCTTGGGGCCGGAACAAGAAACAGCGCAGTAAACGAGGAGGGTAGCGCATGCGGGCGAAAGAATAAAGTGAGTAAGGGTGAGTGTATCCAAACGACAAGGAAGTCTTCCGAGATTAGAAGACCCCAAAACTTTTGAGGAGACCTAGAGGGCCGCTGTAGGGAAGTCGCAGTTGCTCGCTCGTTCGTACTTTTGAATAAAATTGTTTTGACCAGTTCGGTCAATAATTACGAACAACGAACCATTACAATAAAGGAACTAAATACAGCCTACGTTTGTCGATTCAGATAAGACTTTTTTGTAAGTATAGCCCTATTTTGAATTAAATATATTCATAATCAAAAAGGACAATACAGTAATATTAGCCTTCAAAATGTACAATTCCCAAAGGGATGCTGACGTCATTATTGATTGCGAAATCAATCGTTCACTGAGATATTACTCAGTAACTCAGTTTCCGACATTCCTGTTGTAAGTTATCTCCTTGGCGTTTCGGATTAGTTTACTTCGTAACATGCTTACATACAGACATAGCCTCCGGCCTACCGGTGCTTTTAGAGTTTTTGTTCTTGCGTTATACTGTTCATATGGTACCGGTACCGAATTAGTTACCAGAAGTGAATGGTTTACTCATGTCATGGCACCGTGCCGGTAAAGCCCTATTATAATCACGTTATACCGGTACGTACAATGGTACACCAGTCTGTCAGTCACCCTATTTTATTGTTATAATTGTATATTTGTTGTACCGGTAGTCTATAAGTGTATAACACATCGTGCTGGACCTGGAACAGGGCTGCAGGGCAGTATTAAATAATCTCAGACATAAGAAGTGGGACAAGTCGATGATAAATGTCGGAATGTGATGGAAAATAAAGTTTTAATATTGTATTATTTGGGAGACTGGCAGGTCTTGGTTATTTCAGTATTTCTAAGAGTACAAAAGAAAAATTGAAATATTAAAATAGCATGCACAAAAAAGATAATTGATTGTCATTTTACAGAACTGTAAGAAAAGTGCCTCAACTAAAGCTATACTGGTACCGTTAACAGTATACGGTACTGCTATAAAGCGTCAACTAAAGCTCCTATTATAACTAGGGCTGGGCATTTCCGATTACCTGATGATTTCAGAATCGAATAGTTTTATTGAATCTCGAATACTTGGAAGACATAAAGTTGTATGCAACTTTTTTATTAAATTAGGTCCTCCAGACACATAAATTAGTAAAAACATAGAATACATCACTCAGGCTGATTGCTGAGCGTTCACACACATAAAAAACACGTTTTCATCAATAACTCACTTCAGAAGAGAATGGTATGCCAGAATTGCATTGAAGAAATATGGCTCTGATAAAAAAAATTGAGAAATTTACCACGACCATTAGAGGAAAGAAAAAAACAAGATGGCGGCGATTCGAATATTCGATTCGAAATGCCCAGTCTTAATTATAACACGTCTTGTCATTTGGTTCGATGAACAAATACTCGATTTGTCTTGAAAACAAGGGCGTTTGGTGTGATGACAGTCATTGACAGATGCGTTAAATTTTGTCGTACTTGTCTTGATATTATTTTGAATTAATCATGACAAACATCGGCCGTGATGTGACCAAAACTCTCTCTCGTCTCGTTTTTGTGCTAAAAACTCTTGAATACCACGGTAAAAAAGTTTTTGATTATTTTTTTCCTCCAGGAATTCAGTCAGTACGGTACACTAGTACACTGATCAGATACCCCTTCTTTGGGAGACGTCTGGACACTGTTGTCCCTCAATATCGGTAACAATACAGTATAATGGAGTTGCGCAAAATACTACAAAAAAGCGCAATCTATTTCTGTCGTCATTGAATTCCTTAGGAAAAAGTAATCAGGTTTACCGAAGGAATACTGGACATTTGAGAGTTTTCAGCAATTAATTTAGCGATTAAATCAGATTATTATTAAGACAAGCATAGCGCGATATGAAGTATCTGGCGTGGTACCAGACGCCCCTCGTTTGTGAGACACATAGAGTGTTTGTTTTATTGAGCCAAATGGAGAAAAATTCTTGGAATTTGGATAGTGTGCCGTACTGCCAGTGGTGACGTTTTTAGATTGCGCTTTAATAACTTTAGTTTATTATGTAGTGCTGGTTTCAGCCAGACTGTCTCGTGGATGAGGGGTGCGGTCACTGTTATAATTGATGTCTTTTAACGTGAGGGCTATTCTTGGAATCGGAAACTGTGTCAAACTGTAAAGGCATTTTTTAGATTAGATTATTATTGAGACAAGCATGGCACGATATGAAGCATCTGACATGGTCCCAAACACCCCTCGTTCGTAAGACACATAGAGTGTTTGTTTCATAGAGCCAAATGGAGGAAATTTTTTGGAATTTGGATAGTGTGCTGTACTGCACTTTGGCGACATTTTTTGATGGATGAATTGTCTGTTTTTCCCTTTAATATTTTTCTACCCAAATTAAATATCCCAGATCTTTAAACTATGCTATACATAGTGCAAATTTAGTGTACGACAATACTTGATTGCCATCTAAAATTGTGTTTCCTGGACACAATGTCTTTCTTCAAGTCTGCTCTTGATTTTGTGAGTGGAGGTGGAAGCGATAATGAATTTGTTGGAACTTCTGTCGAGTTGGGAGATTTAACACTCTATGTCAAAAATGTTATAGCAGAGGGTGAGTATATTTATATTGCCTGCAGCTCTCGTAAGTTTTCAAATTAAATTTAAAATGAGTAAAATCACATACAGGAGATTGATGTTTATTTTCTATCATGAAAAGTGACCAAGGAGTTTGCCTGAAGCTTAAAGCCTGTTCTTTTCTCTGGTCTATTTGATACTTTGCATGAATATACCTTAAAAAACATGTTGCAGAATAATTATAAATCTATATTTTTATAATAATAAATGTAACTAAAGTCTAATAATTCTGTCACTTTTGTTGTATTTTCCTCAGATTAAGATACGGTAGACACATAATTCATTCTTTGTTCTTACTATACAGGTGGATTTGCTTTTGTTTATGAAGCAGAGGATACCAGCAACAAAGGATACGCTTTGAAGGTAGAATTTGTTTAATAGTGGTTAAGTTTTTCACTCCTTAAACATGCAACGTTCACAGATATTCTTGGTGTGATTTACTTTGAAAAGAGAGTTCTGTGTGTATAATTATGAGGAAATCTTTCATATCAAATATTATTATTGTAAGTATGCCAATGATTACTTGCAACCTACTAACAACAAAGAAATTCATCATGTCCTTTTCGTCAACAAAGAATAATATAATTTCCACAATTTTTTCATGAATAGCAAAAATGTTGTAATGTTTCATTGCTATTTTGTTGAAAGAGATTTTTCATTTAATTACTTTGTTCATTTCTCTTTCAAGTATGCTTACCACATACATATCTGAAGTATTAAATAACCAGGGGAAAAGGGGGAAAACCCTGTTATCACTTTTGTCTTTTGTTATAAATGTTGTATTTTGTTTACAGCGACTTCTTGCCCATGAGTCATCAAAGAGCCAAGGAATCAGAAAAGAGATTCAGTTTTTAAAGAAGTTATCTGGTCATCCTAATATTATAAAATTCGTTGCTGCTGCAGCAATCTTGAAACAAGAATCTGGACTTGGTCATGATGAATATCTTGTTTGCACAGAATTATGCCCTGGTTAGTTGCTTGTAAAGGATGTGACATTGTCGATGGCCTAGTGGGGAAGCCTTAACTTCAATAGTTGTTTATGCCTGTGGTTCCAAACCTTCTATGGCTCGTGGTCCCTTTTTGGAGGCTTTTAGTACTCATGGCCCCCCTGTTAATCATTCCAGTGGTATTTATAGTTTAGGTAGATTCCAAATTCCTTTATGTTCAAACAATTCATTCTCAACAAAGTGAAAACACCCTATGAATTCACCTTATCAAGCAATGAAACTAGGGAGAACGTGTACCGATAGTTTTCTGTCAGGGAAAAAGTCAAATTATTTTGTGCCTAGCATTGTGGCCCCCTGCAACCGACACTGGCACCCGGTTGAGAATCGGTGATTTAGGCATTGCAGGCTGAAAATCTCTGAGTGTTATAAATTTGGTATGTAATGCCAGACTGAAAATATTCTGTTAATATATATGAGCTCCTTTAGTGGCTACTTATACAGAACCTTTCTTGTTCTGACCAATACTCTTACATTGTGTATCTTATTAGAGGTGTAAGCGAACATGACGTTCCTATTCCATTTTAGACAGTGTTTGTTTTTCACCGCTGGCCTTTTTTATTTGTACTCATAATTTTTTGTTCACTGGCTCTCAAGCAGACTCATACCAAAGCTCAAAGTGCAATCATATATTTCAATGGTGAATTTATAGTTTAGAATATTGTTATATTTGTCCCTCTATTGTAATATGAATGGTCTTCCCATCAGGTTGCTATTGGTTACCATATAATACCACAGTTTTGAATTTGGGACATCTACATAATATCTTGATATTATAATCTCAAATTGATACCTTTGATACACTAATCCCCAATCCATAATTCTTGATATTTTTATTATCAATAAAATCAATTATGCTATTTAGAGTTATTATTTTATTCCAGTATCTATTCAAAATTAGTTTTTGTTTTGATAACAAATTTTCAATAAATTAAGCTAAAGACACCTGAATATTATTAATAAAAAAACAAACATGTATTGTACAACCCTATTAAATTGTATTACATATACAATTGTACATACATTGATACATATTGTATAGCCAGAGGCATATCCAGGGTATGGCATACATGGTTTCGTATGGAAAGGGGTGTAAAAAGGGCGAAAAGTTTAATTGTAAATGGTTCAATAAAATAAATACAAATTAGTAATAATTTAAACTCGCATTTTTACTTAAATAATAACCTACAAGTATCTCAAATCAACAACAGTCGTTAAAAATGTTCAGTCAACAATCAAGATGGTGCAATTTTATACTTTGTCAATTGTGCCATTTTAAGTATATACGCCACTGTGTATTATCTTTGTCCTAAAAATCAAAACTGCTGTCTACACAGCAACCAGGCACAGCCCTCTTCAAAAGAGGTATTATATAGTAGTTATCCACCCGTTTTTTTCTAATTTTTGTTACTTTTTTGTGATAAAACCGTTTTTTTTATTGCATTTGCGACTGTATTCTGTCTGTATCATTTCAGGTGGATTAGTTGACACTTTAAACAGAGAAGAAAATGGATTTAGTGTTGACCAAGTAATGAAATGTTTTTTTCAAACATGCCAAGCTGTACAACACATGCATAAACAACAACCTCCTATCATCCACAGGGATTTGAAGGTATAGATAAATTATCGTTACAGTTGCAAATTCTTAGGATCCACTTACGTAAATCATAGATGTGAAAAAGCTGCCACATAGACACTTCAGCTGATTTTGTAAGCAGACAATTTACTTATCCTGTGCAGTTTTTGTAACAATGCTTACAGAAGTTTCAGTATTTTGAAAATGGATGGAATTTAAGACCAGACTAAGATTTGTTATTGAATATTTGAATTTTTTGCTGTCACTTCTATGGATTATTTTTGGATTCATTAGAGAGGGAGTCGGAATTTAAAATTCTTTGTAGCCAAAATTTTCTGACAGTAACTCAAAAAGCATTAAGTTGAATTTTGTTATTAAAATTTGGATTTCTCGGTGTCATAGGTCCAAGTTTAGGTTTTTTATGTGTCTTGGTGACATTGTCGTCAAATTTCCTGGATTTTGATACCTTGTTTACCCTGCCCTAATTTGTACCATTCGCTAATTAAGGCATTTAATTACAAGGCCATTATTGTGACATATTCCTCTAAGTTTAAGCATTGTCAAATCGTGACTTGAATTATTTCGTGAAGCTGTCCTATTTTTATAATAAAAGTTCATTTTTATTTTTCCCAGATTGAAAATCTTCTTATATCTGCTCAAGGATTTATAAAATTATGTGATTTTGGAAGTGCAACTACAAAAGCTCATTACCCTGATCGTTCATGGACTGCTAATCAGAGATCCATGGTAATGATATATATTTTGCATGCAATTTGCGTATTTTCATCGCTCCAATTTGGATTTTATGCGAAAAACTATATATTTTTTTTACAAGGTTTTCAACCTGTTAGGGATGGCCGAAATTGAGTGATTTACTATTTTGAATATATTTTGAAATAATATTGTTGAATAAAAAATTACATATATTTTACATTATTCAACAAAAAACACATAAAAGCCATTGTATGTTCATTATTCAGTAGGAGAACAATATTGGTGTAGCGCATCGTACTAAGCGTTGGGAATCTCTGGTGATTATATCATTTGTATGTGGCAAGATTGGACTTCTTATCGGTGTGGGTGAATTATGTAACCGCTGGTCAGTTACTACTTCCCCCAGGTTTGGTCCATACATCTGGAACAAATAACTGACTAACTAACCCCATAACCGGCATGGACTGGTAAACGGAAGTGGGCCGTATTATGCCATCTTATCTGTTTTTATCTCCCGCGGCATAAAAATGATAACTTATACTTATTCGGATGTATTATTAATATTGTGCTACTCAAATGAAAGTTTTTCCTAAGTTTAAGACCCAAAATCGAACCTATGTCTGTTTTACCCCAGGTCGAAGATGAAATCACAGAGAACACAACACCAATGTACAGAACCCCAGAAATGATTGACATGTACAGTAATTATCCTATCAATGAAATGCAGGATATTTGGGTGAGTACATAAGCATATTGTCCCATAATCCTGCCACCAAATTTCGAGATCAGAAAGACACTTTATAATGACTAAATTGATTATATTAAAATAACAAATTTTGACACAATATGAACCTGCGGATCTTTCTTAAAATTGATAAAAATACACCTTTCTCTTGGTCTACCTAACCGGTAGTTGCTTTGGACTTTAATAATGATGTACTTGAAGGTATTAATAATGTTCCTTATAAAGCTATTGCCTGTGTACCTTGTCACCCTTTCATTGAGTTCCACGATGCTTGTTGTTTCAATTTTTGTCCTGAATTTTGTACTTTAAAAAAATTATGCCAGCTTTTGCGATTTTTCTATATTGTATATTTTCTAGGCTTTGGGCTGCATTCTCTTCCTATTCTGTTTTCGAAAACATCCGTTTGAAGATTCCCAAAAACTGCGGATTTTGAATGGAAATTACACAATTCCAACTAATGATAAGAAATACACTTCATATCATGGACTAATAAGTAAGTTATATTTATAGTGGGTGTTTCCCCAAGCATTGACTTCCTTGTTGTTGTTACTTATCGATTTTAATCAGTAAGTATGTTGATAGGTATTTGTCTGTATGTCTGTCTGTTAGATGCACGCGATATCTCACGAAAGCGAGATTGAATCGGCTCCAGATTTTGCATGTGCATTCATTATATGTCTGACCAGAAGCCTATTGATTTTGGATGAATTATGTTGTATACTTAGCGAGTTATTAATTAATTAGTGATGGCTTGGTTTAGTCATGGCTTTAAACGTTAGCTAATTTTTTAGGTTTTGATAGCTATTTGTCAGTATTTTGGGGTTTTTCATGTCCAGAAAAAGTTAGAAGTTAATTTAAAAAAGTTGAAAACCACTGTTATACTGACTTAACATATATTTTCCTTTTTAATGTTTACTTATGAATTAATGATAATGTTCACTGAAACACCATGAAAAAATATTACTCATACTGGATATTACAACATAGTTTACTGCTTGTTATTTGAGTCATATTAGTCAAATACAAGTGTGATATATGGTGTCCATAAAGTCTTAAAATTTTTTTTTTTAAAATGCAAAGGTAATTTATTGATACCATATATAAATGCTTAAACAATTACTGATAAAAACAAAAACCTGGTTAAGATATATTTAAAACTGACTTGGTAACAAAATTGGTATTGTAAAGAGACTTTATGGACACCCTGTACATTTTCACATCACTTCATTTTATGGTGTTTTATTTCAGTATTTAATTGTACAGAAGATAGAGTTGAAACTTGGCACTTTGTTTCAAAAGCTACACATCTATGAATGTTTATGAAGAATATAAACTAATGAATGCCATGGGAAACCCTCTTTTTAACATTCATTTGCGTTTAAAATTTTTCACCAATAACTCTGAAATATCAGAAAACTCGAAGTAATATCACTAAAACTCAGTATGGCAATGTAGGCAGCTAACTGTTGATGTTATATTGGATCTCCGCTATAGGAAACACTTACTCTCGGTCATTCTGTTAGTTTGTGTGTAGAAGCTCTAGCGTCTTACCGGCTTGACATATCTGGATAAAATTTCACACAAAATTTCACATAAAATTTGATTATCCTGTCACCCTAGTATTGTGCGTTTCATTTAAAGTCCGGATTAAAGTTTTGCTTTCATAGCAACATTTCTTTATGATTCCATTTATAGTTTTCGACGCTCCTGAAGTATGAGTACCAATAGGGAGTTAACTAATTTTGTTGGCCTATTTTACATAAAGTTGTTTAAAAAGACTGAAACCTATGGGCAGGGAGATATTCACTTGGCTAACACTGACTGACAGTCCCCGAACTCGTAATAGAACCAAAACATTATGGCCTAACCCTAACCTACTTTGCATACACCGGAACGTAGTACGTGTACCAGGTTAGGGTTAGGCCATGGTTTCGGGTACAAATACTACGGGAGTCACTTGGCTAGTCCCCGAACTCGTAATAGAACTAAAATAAGGAAAATATGAATAAAATTATGGCCTGACCCTAACCTAGTACACATACTTCGGAACGTAGTACGTGTACCACTAGTACCAGGTTATGGTTAGGCCATAATTTCAGGTACAAATATTACAGGACTCACTTGGATAGTCCCCGAACTCGTAATTGAACTAAAATAAGGAAAATATGAATAAAATTATGGCCTAACCCTAACCTGGTACGCATACTTCGGGAGTACCATTTTTTTTCTGTGTTTAATGCTTTTATTATCGCTGCTTTTATTATTTCATCTTCCAGGAGGAATTCTTCAAATCAATCCCAACAATCGACCACCGGCTGCTGTGATATCAGAACAATTGAAAGAGATTGCTTCATCATTGAATGTTGATCCGAAATCTCCTCTTCAGTTTGTAAGTAAAAACCAGCAATTGTGGTCCATTTCACCCTGGGTAACAAAGTGGAACAATTTCTAATTATTTGATATACAGGGTGTTTGACCATAAAGTCCCTTTACAATTTTAATTTTATTATGTTGTCAATTCTCAACATATCTTAACCAGGTTTGTTGTTTTCTAATCAGTAATTGTTTAAGTATTTTTACTTTATTTACCAGTAATACATCTGTGAGGGCCAAAACAATATTTGGTATCGATAAATTCTGTTTGCAATTTTAAAAAAATTTATCGTTTTTTGGACACCCTGTATTTTTGATATTTTTTATGACCCAGATATTTGAACTAATAAATCAATCATCTTCAAATTTTCTGTACTTAGAGATGGGGGGGATCAGTCTTTCATTTACTTATAATTTCTCACCTCGAATTTTTGTTGGTCTTTGATTCACGAGAATATTCTGTTATAACATATGGGAACACTTATATTATAACCTTTGGCATTTTTGATACATTTGGGCAATACCTTCTTGTTTGCGATATGGCTGATATTGTCAGCTTGTCATTTTTGACGCACTTGTGGTGGTGATTATTGTTTCAGCCTTTAATTTATTTTCATATTTTGCTCTTGGAGAATAGAGATGACACATAGAGATAGTTAAAAAGAAAATAATTCTTTTGGATCTGACCATCATTGAGCAGTGAAAATTTTCTACATTTTTTTTCTCTTTGCCTGGATATTTATTCTTTCAAAAATTGCCAACACTTTGTTCAGATCACACAGTTTTTAATTCTTATAGAATTTCCCCTCACAGAGAAAGAAAACTCCTGATCCACCCAGAGATATTCGCAGACCTGCACCTCCTCCACCTCAACAGCAACAGAGGCCTCAATCAACTGAACAAAATCGTGGTATGTTAGCTATTAAGAGTTAAGATATTATACCAGGGCGGTGCAAGTGTGAGTTTAGTATGTTTTCATTTGAGTGTCATATTTTCACATTTTTTCAGTCAAAAGTTTGAAAAGAATTTTGCAAAATTTGATCAGAATTTTAGACTTACAATGGTAATAATCTGTGCCAAGTTTCCAATTAATGCAAAAAGATTCTCAACTGATCTCAACTGATCACAATCTCAATCTCAACTGATTATTGAATAAAGCTTGCAAACGTCAAGTTTTTGCTGTTAAAATTTGGTTTGAGTTTCTATCTGGTTTTAGGAATTGATTGGTACCCAGGGATGGCCAATACCGAATAGTTCACTATTTCGAATACATTCGAAATTATTATTTTCGAATATGAAATTTCGAATACTTCGAAATTAAAATCCAGTAATAGAATCTAAGTGTATGAAGAAATTTTCATACAATAAACAATGGGAAAACTTCTATTTACAACCTGGCTATATTACCAGGCATTTCATGTTTGCAGATTATTGCGATATATATTTTATATAATATGAGTTGTGTTAATTAACAGAATTAAAATAATACGACAAGGCATTTTAAATAGTGGTATCGGTGATGGATTTGAATGCTTGCGCGCAACACAAAATCATCCTAGTAAAACGCCCATACTTTTAAATACCAACCATTATCCAAATTATTTGTCAAAAAGCGGGATGAAGTATGAGTTCTTTTTCAGACTTGTGACAATTTTTTCGTGAGTACAAAAATACAAATCAAAAAGTAATTATATTCGGGAACTTTACCACACATTTTAAGTCCGCAGATCGCCGTTGTATGTTTGTGTAATAATACTTTTATTATTTTATAAATACGAAAACTATTTATAATCGGGTAGTTTACCACACATTCAATGTCCACAGATCACCGTTGTATTTTGTGAATATAATTAATTTTTGATTCTTATTTTCGTACTCACGAAAAAATTGTCACAAGTCGGAAAAATAATTTATACTTTATTACACATTCAAGTCCACAAATCGCCGTTGTATTTTTGAGTTATAATAGAAAAATTGTTCCCTGTTGTTCAGTTATGCTAATATGCGCTAATAATAATGTTTAGAACCAGATCACGTTTGTTAAGTAGAATCATACTCACAGAATTAACTATTTTTAACAATAAAGCGGTAATTTTAAGTTAAAAATCACAATCATTTTGAACAATCTATAATTTTATAGGGTCAGAACAGAACCAGATCATGTTTGTTTGGTAGAACCATACTCACGGAATTAACTATTCTCAACAACGAAGCGGTAAATTTAGATTATAAAGCGGCAATCATTTTGGACAACCTATCAACCCGAATGTTGAAATCATTTTGGAATGTGATAAGTTCCACACGGTACGTCTACGGGTTATTTCACAGCTGTGTTTCATGTCCCTGTCATTTTCTGCTGAATCGGCAAAACCAAAGGGTCATAAATCACTTTATCTCGGTGGCGGTGGCCGTGTTTTCTCTTTTAAGTAACGATAACCAGCCTACGATTAAATATCATGATTGGCAGGCCCATAAGAACCAAATATAAGGTTAACACAAATTATGCTTGAGAAGACTAAGGAGAATGTCGGCAATGTCCACCAACGCAAACGTGCAAATGTGTCCCAACACTATGCGACGTACATTCGCGCTGAATATAAACAATCAAAATGCCGACTCTATTTCATCGTCATTACAATACGCGAGAAAGCGTAAAAAGTCGTTTAAAGATTCCGGTAAAACGAAACACCGTGTTTACGGCGAAAAGTGACTACTATTCGTAATTATTCGGAAATGAGCCGAAAAGGTATTCGAATACTTTGATATTCGAATAATTTCGAATATTCGATTCGTTTTGGACAACCCTGTTGGTACCCTTCTTTAAAGTAATTTCATTGTTTCTGGTGTTCTACAACTTTAAATTTGAGAGGATCATGTGCTTGACTTATTGATTAATAAATAAGAAAGTCTGCGCTGACAGTAGTATATTTGTGTTAGAGCAGCAGGACTCCTAAGTCACTTAAATTTCTGTAACTCCTAAGTCACTTAAATTTCTGTAAATATCAATTTTGTTAAAAAAAAATGAGAATACTGATAGATATACACATAGGAGACATTGTCAGTATCAATTTGACTGTTGAAAGTCTTAATAGAATAATATAGTTTGGTTTTGTAGTTTCCATTTGAATGGTTTTATTACCAGGATGTGGGATACCATAAGCTCCACTTATTCAATAATATATGTACTCTCGTTTCACAATCCACTCCCGCATGAAATTTGTTGTCAGACATTGTTGCCCATACACAGGTTGTATTGACTACTGAATGACTAGCTTTTTTTCATGCAATTGGTTCTCAATATAATTATCGGACATAGTGTGCACATATGGATTGTTTTGCCAATCTTTGTTGGGAAATGATTGTTTTTCTCCACATCTAATCGACTATAAAGATGGTCCTCATAGCTAAAAAATGGGAACACTTTTTATAAAATATGGTTACATTTTGTAGGTCGCGCTTGACCTTTGATCCTTCAGCAAACTTGATAATTGATAGTGATACCATATCTATTTATCTGTACTGTAACAATTAATTGATCTTAATAACATACCTCACCTTGATAAATGTATATTTCAATATCTTGTCCCTGTTACCGGTATATTTATTTAAATCAAAATATAACATCGTTTGCACAGTGAATAAACAAAACAAAGACAAGATGCATTTACAGATACATATATGCAAGAATATCATATTTTTTTCACAAAGTATCAATTATTTTTTTTATTTTATATATTTTTTTCCCTGGTTCATCACTAGCCCTGTTAATGTGATTGTCTCGGCATAATCGGCCAAAACAAAAAGACTATTAATGACATTGGTCCAAAATTGGCATGAGCCCCATGAAAAATGTGTTCGATTTTTAGGACGTTTTCTAGATTTACACTCGACTGTCAGATCTCATGTGACAGGCATCTCTATGATTCTGCACATCTGTGAATCTTCCAGTGTGTCATGCCGTACAGTTTGAGAGTCACTTGTTTGTTTTGCAATCGAACACGCATCTTCGAAGTTTTTTGATTTTGAGATACCTCACTAACGACTAGTATTTGAAACTTTTTTAGCTCCTGTTATTGCTGATAGTAGTTTCTTAATATTTATTTGTAGGTATCGAAATCCAGTGCTTCAGAGAATGCTGTGAGGATTGGTGTTGTAATTGTAGAATTTTAGCAAGTTATATGCAAGTTCCATCTGAGTAATAAAAGCATTGCAATAGGTCTTTGAAAATTCTTGAGCTTAATGCTAGTGTTAGAAAATGCTATGGGAAGGTGTTACAAATCTATAATGTTATATCTAATCAAGATAGATAAACAAGGGTTGTTTTTAATGTCAAGCTTAGCTTAGAAGTAAGGTTGAAACATACCACTTCTGCCTATGTTTGTATTTGAATTAGAAGGTTATGTGGAAATAAATACCATGTTAGATTTTATGAAGATGTGTAAAGTTTTATTCTATAAACAATATAATAAATCCAAGTCAACAATATATTTTGCTTCCAGTACCATTAAAAACAACTGCTCTATCTTCACATTTCATAAATCGAAGATTTTATTTTAATATTTGATTCAAGTGTCTTGCTGCACACTAACACAAATGTATTTCTGTAAAGTTCCATCTGATCGGGGTCAGACTCCTTCAAACAAGCATTTTTCAACTATGATAAGAAACATGATAGAATGCACATAAATATAATGGTTAGCAATTGTTGGGTTTGCTTTCAAATAGAGAGAAATAAAATTAGGACAGTGCAAGAACAATAGGAAAGTCGAATTTAAATTTCAATCATTAAACATCCTACAGTTGATGTAACAATTAAAAAGTTAATCAAATTTAATATTTCTAATAATTTGATTGAATAGTAACACTATTTTTGACGTGCATATCAAGTTCAATATTGAACATTTTGCATTTATTTTATTCCATATTTTTTGTTAACTCATATTTTTGTTCGGTTCAAATTTGGAATAAACAATGAATTTTGAAATATTTTCAAATGTATTATTTTATGGACAGTGCAAGAAACTCGTGTTAAGCTTGGACTTCTTCATGATATTATAGAGCACATAATACTACATAATACACTCTAATACTGACATGGGTAAACTACAGCCCGTGGGCCAAATCCGGCCCATTGGGTAGTTCAATCTGGCCAGCCTAATGCTGCCGCAAACAAACTTTTACCAAATTTCAATGTTTTAGGTGAACAATAACTCGAGGAATTTGTTGAGGTTGCGATTAAATTAACTTTTTGCACGGGTTTATTACTTTCTACATTTACTTTTGTAACACTGTAAATATCATAAAATGTAACTTTTTACGTGACACTTACATGGCCCGCCCTTTCCGGTCCATGAACCTCGCCCATCCCTGCTCTAATAATACACAATTGAAATCCAATGACAACAGTAATTAATACACTGTCATACACAATAATAATTTCAACTTGCATTATTGATAGTAAGAAGTGGCATATGTTCTATTCTACATTCGCATTAAATAAATCACAATAAATATTACAAAACAGTCAATAATCAACTTCATTTTCTCACTATATTATAAGTAAAGGATTGATAAGCCATTGCATGGTCTATATATAACAAACCAGGGTTAAACTTGGCCTTGTCATATTCCATAATATAATTTGACAAGGTCTTATTAAGAGAATCCCATTGAGACTTCTATTACAGCTCTTGCTCTCTCTGTTCAACATAATCAATAATATATATTGATTTTCCTGCTTTCCAATCTGAAGAGCTCTAGATTAAGAATGTACTTCATAGTGAGAGAGTTGGCAATTGTTAGACTGCTCTTATATTTATGGTTCAGAACTTATGTCAGAATAGCTTTATGGTGAGAATACATATGTATCTAGCCAAATTGCAGCTTAAGATAGTTATTAGCGCTATAAGTTTAAAGATATTTTTAGGTGTTCTAACATTCTGAGAAATAACTGAACAGCAATATTTGAATTGAAATAATAATATAATGAAAGAAAAGCTAAGCAAAGGAAACTTACATCATTTCATTAATCTTTATAAAAGTCCGATTTGAAATTGCTCCCGTTGTCCGTTAATTTGAATCTTCTTATATGTAATTATACAACTCCTCATTTGAACCTTACGACGGCATGCTAAAGACAGTCTTTAAGTTATCAATATTATTCATGAATAAAAAATATTTTATTTTATAAGATAAAGAGTCTCTCCAATTTGGTATTCAAAAAATCAATTATTTCAGTATAGGTTCATTGGTATTATAGAGTATTTTCTCTCAAGGCAGTGACATGTTGGTTTCTGGTTAGTGAGACAGTATCACCTTAGCTGTTGTTAAAATTTGAAGTAATGTCTTAGCATTTACACCAACCAAATATTAGTTGAAACTGAAGTCTCATTGCCTTTTTTCACTGTCATTTTCAATATCAATGTGTTTAATGGTGATGTATATTTTAACCGAACTTGATTGTTTTAGCTCACCGTAGGAACTGATTAGGGGTCTTTTTATCGCTGCTATTGTTCTTTTCTGTACATTTACAATTTTTACAGTAAAATTAATTAAACATTCTGATTAATCTGTATTGAAATGGATTTATACAGAACAAAATGAACAACATAGAAATATAAGTAAATAATTTTACTACGATCTGGTGATATATTCGAAATAAAAACGATGTTCGGAGAAAGAGTTTACACTCAGGTTGCGACAGATGAAAATATGTATATCGGTAAATATCAATATTTTACTGCAGTAACGTTATCTGTTTGTTTATTGGAAAGCAAACAAAATTGTTCAACAATGTGTAATTGTATATGATGCAATTTCTATTGAAAACGAATTTCTGTGCATTGCATTTGTGTTGTAGTTGCGTAGAGCAGGATTATAATTTGTAAAATTGTGCTGTTACTTGTGAATATGGGAGATAATGAAAACAGTAAGTACTCTCTTCGCAATTTGTTTTGAGAATACGAAAACTTTATTAGATAACCTTCGTATTGTTGTATAAAATGTAATTTGATATATGTAATATTGATACCTGCAGATTTTTAAGTGTTTAACTTTTTAGATATTTTCATATCCAACCTGAATTAGTAGGCTATTCAGTTTATAGGCTACAGTTTGCCATATGAATTTGTGTCCGTAGTAAAAGAAATCATTAGAATTTATGAAAATTTGAACAAATTTTTAGCTTGTTGAATGCCAGTGATCTGCCAAATCGTTTTTGCCGGGGCTGCTCGAGTGGCGGACCGAGGTCTGATTCCTCCTGTTGAGTATTCAATTCGGATCGCACCTGTCTATTCATTCTTGATCATTGGCCCTACTTTGAAAGTGTGGAGGTTTCCTTTTATTAAATGACTTGTATAGTTTCAAAGGTTTATTTATAATTTACTCATATTTGCACCTGACTTTCATGATAAGCTAATAATTATTAGCCGGCCAAGGAAGTGTGCATTTAGAAATGTCGAAAAATAATTTCTGGAAAGACCAGACCCCAGTATTTATGAAGTTTTGTATATGTCAGATCTTCAGTTAAATAGTTGAGTAGCCTACTATCTATTTTAATCAGAGTCTATAATGGGTATATAATATATTTGTAACTGGACTTCTATTCACATTGGCCAGATCACTTTCTTCTTAGGGTCTATTTACCTTTATTGATGTTGACCGTTACACTTACTTATATATAATCTGTATTTAAATGGTGAACAGACCTATTGTGTGCCTTTTCATTCATTTTCGAGAGATAATCCTTATTTAGCTTTAAATAAAAGGTACCACACAATCAATATGTCTGAAACATATCACAAACACAAAGTATCACTGTCTAGGAAAAGTTTATATCATTTTTGCTTCATCTTACCTCCGTACTTGGTACAATAATAGATAAGTTGATATATACTGCAACCTATATAAAGAATTGTATAATACAATTTTATTCCCAAAATTAGGATGTTCCTATGCCGATTTAGGATTATACAATATTTCAGATTTCTGATCTATTAAAGCAGTGGTTCTCGAACTTTTTAAGCTGCGCCCCCTTTTTATAAATTGTCAAGTATCGCAATTCGCGCCCCATCTCAAGAATAACTAGAACAGATAATAAAGCGAAAGTATGTTTTGTTCGAAAAACACGTTGAAAATTCGTGGATGGGACGTAAATAATGAAATAAATGAAAAGTTTGAAATGTAAGTATTCAAAATAAGGTGGGCAAGATATACAAATATACAAATATTGGGGCTCCCGAAGTATGCGAACCAAGATGGCGGACATCGGAATGCAATATGTGTACTAGGTTAGGGTTAGGCCATAATTTTAGGTATAAATACTACGGGAGGCTCTTGGTTAGTCTTTGAACTGATAATAGGACTAAAATAAGGAAAATTGGAAAGAAATTATGGCCTAACCCTTACCTGTTACCCATGTTACGTTCCGATGTCCGCCATCTTGGTTCGCATACTCCGGGAGCACCCAAATATTTTTATTGTTAATTAGCTCCACGTCCCATAGAAAATTGTCTACGCCGCCCCCTTGTAGGTGCACCTCATCGCTTGAGAACCACTGTATTAAAGTTTAGTTGGTCGGTAGTAGGGTTGTTTTTGCTTAGCCATGGTTTCTGACACTAATACTTAATTTTATGTGTATCATATTGTATAGTGTCAGTGTAACTTTATGGAATTCGTTGATATTTCTTTAAAGTTTCTTTCCAGTTGACCTTGGTGACTTCCAAAGTCTTGTCCCTTCTGATAATATTTTTTCGGTCATTATTTTTCACTGTCATATTGTCTACTTTTTTGGATTATATTTGGAAGAAATCATAAGTTTGAAACTTGAAAGAACTGTTTAGAGAAGCTAACTAAATTGTATAGTTTTGGTTTTGAAACATATTACTGCCTTTAACTTTCTATTGAAATACTTAAAAATATAGCTTCAGTAAGTTCAAACACTATGTTTAGTTACATACTAGCTTATTAAACAGCACCTATTATTTGAAATTTTCAGATAATTTTTTATTTCAAACTTTCAACATTTACATTTCGCTTTGAAATCCTCATTCTCGCTTTGTAAAAGTTCTGGAAACATGTGTTCTCAGTTCAATAATTATGTTTCTTTCATTTCAGATCCAACTGTGCCACCAGATGGCGGTGGAGGGTTGCTTAGCATGATGAGAGGGGGAGCAGGAAAATTATTCACCAACATCAAAGATACTTCAACAAAGATGGCGGCCACTGTTGCAAGTTATACAAAATCTGAGCTCGATGTTACTTATATCACATCTAGAATTGTTGGTAAGTATGGTAATTATAATTCATGAGAGAATCTTAAAAATTGTTATAATAGTTGGATTTCAAATGGATTTGGGGGAATCTAAATCTTCGCTATGATTCCTCCTAGTTTTTATATATCGATCTTGATCGGTCAGTTTATCTGTTTCACTTTCGTATGTTACGCGATATCTCACGAAGGCGGGGTTGAATCTGCTCCAAATTTTGCATGTGCATTTGGTATATCTCGGACCAGAAGCCTATTGGTTTTGGATGAATTATGACATATTATTAGCGAGTTATTAATTAATTAATAATCTGAATCCTCGTGGCAATTTGCAACCATCATTTCTGTATTTGAAACACAAATTTGTTTGGATAAGCGACTTCTTTATCCCCTTAGTTACGTCTTCTGAATCGATTTTGTGAGCTGTATATTTTAGAAACTTTGATAATTGTCCTTGTTACAACGATAATTTGTATTTGCCGCCAAGATTCGTTACTATAAACGATCTTTTTTCATTACAGTGATGTCATATCCTGCAGAAGGAGTTGAGGGGACATACAAGAATCACATCGATACAGTTCGTTCCTATCTTGATTCAAGACATTCAGATAAATTTGCCGTTTTCAATTTGTCACAAAGACAATATAACATTGCAAAGTAAGTTTTGGGAATTGAATTAAGTGATAAGCATTTCATAAACGTTGTGAACAAATACCTAAAGCAGCGTTTTTCAAACTGTGTTTTGCGGACCCTTTTTTAGAGTGTTCCACATGACAAGGTCAAAATTGGTCGCCATGGCGATCTCGGTCATACTTTGGCACATCTGGGTTATAAATTTATCTCCAACCAGACGGACGGGCTTTGCTATCTGAACAGACAGACAGGCCTTGTGTCAGTCTGGAAAGCGTGGCCTTTTCGTTAATCGTTCAATATCCTTCTGGAAACCTCAAAAAATAATTATGTTGTAAAGAATTGCTGAAAAAATTCACGCCATCGTAGTAGGGTGATTAACATAACCACTGGATGAAGACTTCCGTCACCATCGAGTTCATGCAACTGAAACGAATAATTGTTACTTTTTTCATACTCTGTATAAACAGGTAATGGGTCGATTGGACTTATATCGACACCTCAAAACCAAACAGTGCTAAGTCCACTTTTCCAAAAAATGACATTTTTCAATTGCTGATTTTCCTGGACTCAGCTCTACATTTTGGTCTATTCGCCTTATCTCTAGGTGCTCTAGATCTCAAGACAGCTATGGACATAACCCTGCTTTTTTTAGGGCATTTGAGAACTAAACAGAGCTGTGTCTACTATAGTGGACTTAGCTCTGGATAACTGCATTGTAAGTTGGGGCTAAGTCCGTTTTTTGGACATAGCTCCTCTCTAAAAATATATTACAAAGCGCTAAGTCCATACCAGCCTCTATAATAACATAATGAAGGGGCCCTATGTCCAATAAAATTGTTTCTGGTCCAGAAAATTGAGAGCCAAAAAGGGTTAAGTCCAACCCCCCCCCCCCCCCCCCCCCAAAAAAAAATTGGGGCGGACCACAAATTTTTTTATACCATCTAAATATGGCCTTCATTGTAACTTTGGTGGACCATAAAAACTAGACATCCTCGATGTAAGGTATTAGAGAAATAAAAAAAAGAAACAAAAAAAAAACGTTTTTTGCGTTTTTTTCAAAACTAGAAAAATGGACTTAGTTCAATTTGGATTTCATGCGTCGATATAAGTATTTGCAAATATATGTTCACTGTTTTCATTGTTTAGATTAGACAAATTCTAATTTCAAATTCAAAAATCTTCATCTTCTTTTTCCAGGTTTTATAACAGAGTGGTGTATGGAGGTTGGCCAGCAAAATCTGCTCCATATTTCCCTTCAATATTTAATATGTGCAAGAAACTATTACAATGGTTAAAAAAAGATCCCAAGAATATAGCTGTGATACATTGTGAGGTAAGTGTGCGAAGCTTTTATTTAACGTTTTGATTTTGAAAAAGAATGTCAGAGTAGTGCAAAGCGTTTATGAAAGGATAAGTTTATTTTGGGGAAAAATGACGTGGGAAGTGACTGGATTTTAATTAAATGAAACTGTGATAACGTTGATAGTTTGCGCTGATGATTTTGTTTCTGGGGGACAAACTATTTATACTTATTTTATGCTTTTTACACTGATTGTTCAAATATGCATGCAACTGCTTTTCGTGTTATAGTTGAACTATGTATGTCTGATTAAGAATGGCCTCGATCAGACGAAACGTTACAGAAATATATTTGTGTTAGTGTGCAGCAAGACTCTTGAATCACTTAGAAAAGTTGATAAAGTTGCAAATCTTTTTTATTAATTTATTGTTAATTTTAGAATACTCTCTATAGTTTTTTTGATAAACAATGTTTAAAGCAACTACTGCTCATGCAGTCATTGTATGTTGAGGAAGCGTAAGAGGTTTCGAGCTTTCAATAGGAATATTTCCCAACACGATTCTGTCATCTTACGAGAGTGAGAGAAATTGGACTGACTATGCTATTTATTTATGGTTATGGCCCTTCGGAACTTAGTAGGTGATGAGGTGGTGGATATAAGGTCACCCAGCATCTTAGACATACCCCAATGTATTTACTATTTACTAACTCAGGTAATAGGCCTATAAAAAAAACTAAATTTGTTGTTTTCATGTCAAACTTACTGTTGACCACTCAGTAAACAAACCATTTCCTAAACCTGAACCATGGTTTCTATTTGACAGGATGGACGAGCCAGTTCAGCAGTTGCCGTTTGTAGTTTATTCATCATGTGTGGATTGTTTTTGACACCAGATGCTGCTCTTTACATGTTTAGCATGAAACGTTCAAATCCAGGGATAGCACCATCACATAAAAGGTATTTGGTTTGGAAATATGTTTTGAAAAGATGGGGACAATGTACAGGGTGTTGTCCATATAATCCCTTTACAATTTTAATTTTGTTATGAAGTCAGTTCTCAATATATCCCAACCAGGTTTGTCGTTTTTAATCAGTAATTGTTCAAGTATTTTTACTTTATTTAATACATCTGTGAGAGCAATAAATTTCCTTAGCAATTTTGAAATTTTTTTGCAAGATTTTATGAACATGATATATATTTCTGGATATATATTTCTGATTATAATCCCATGTAACCTTTTTTTTTAAATACATTGTTTCATGTTAGTTCATACTTCATACTATCATTAGATACCAGCTTGTTAGGGGAGCACTTATTTCTTTGAAAGATTTTCAAATGAAAATGTTTTTGATATTCCAATAAACAATCAACAGAGCTGAGTGCCCAGCTCAAAGAGCACTTCACAGCTGGTTGGTTAGTCACCTGTAACTGATGATATCACCGATCATGCTCGACCATCCAGGAAAACTAGTTACCAGAAATTTTTAATGGCATTATTTTCCAATATTGTGATATATCTCAAAAATTTCTCCTTTACAGATATTTGGAATATCTCTGCGGAATGGTAAAACCTGAGCGACCTATCGTTCCGAAATCTAGACTAATCAGATTGAAGTCGATCATTCTAGAACCTGTTCCTTTATTCAATCGTCAACGTAATGGTTGTCGGCCATTTTGTGAGGTTTATGTTCGTGATCAGAGGGTATTAACAACAGCGAAGGAATATGATGCTATGAGGTTTGCTCTAATTATTTTTTATAATAAATACAAGGTGTTCAAAAACTTACCTTGATTTTATTGTGATAACGATTGAAAATTTCTTTGTCTTTGTTTGTTAATAGTTCTTATTGTGCTTGTATTTCTCATTTATCATACAATTGTTATTACCATAAAATCGGGAAAAAATTTTCGGACACCTTGCTGCACAATGGACCTAACATGGCTGTTCTAATGCTCATGCAGATCGTTTGCCTATTGACATGTTGTTTTTTAAAAAAATATCCTAGTAAAACTAAAGTAGTTTAGCTCTCTCTCTAAATTGAACTTTATGTAGGCAATGCTGAACCCTAAAGATTCTGGCTCATTCGTAATAAAGTTGCTCCTCACCAACAAATGACTTCTTATACAGTGCCTTGTTCGGAGTGGAAGGAAGCTAAGATGTTTGAAAAAATCTTTCTCAATGGGCAAATAAATGGTTAAACTCGTACAGTGAAATTTTGCTCTCAAGTTCTGTTTAATGGCTTTTAAAACCATCTTTTCTAAAATACATCACATTAGTATGCTCAAATACAATGTTTTTCACAATTTTTGTGAGATTGGAAAGCTGAAAATTGAGTCCGAATCTGAGAGTTTTATGCTTTTATTTCAGGGGTGGGCAAATTACGTTCCGCGGGCCGGATCCGTCCCACCGAAGTGTTTCATCCGGCCCACTTGTGTCTGCTGAAATTAGGACTATAGTTTTTATGGATATAAATTTCCGCTGAAAATATCGACGAAAGTAACACCATAACGACCTGATTGTTACATTTAGCATATAAACGTTTGTCTAGCTGTTGTAAGAAAATATTTTTTTTCATAGTTTTCCTTATAGAGTTTTAGGCCTCCAAGCCAGTAACCAAGTCTATATAGGTAACTGACCCACTTGGAAAAGTAAGTACCCACCCCTGTTTTATACCAATCCTTGATAGCATTGATTGATAAATTTCATTGTATTAAACCTGAATGATACTCAACTCTCAAACATTTTTGTTTAGGAGTTTTAGTGTTGACGATGGTCGAGCTATCATCGATGTAAGAGCAGATATTGTAGGTGTTTCCGACATAACAGTCTCAATCTTTCATGCTCGACAACTTCTTGGTGGAAAAATTCAAGGAAAACAATCCGGGATAAAGATGTTTCAACTTCAGTTTAATACAGGGTTTCTACCTGACTCTACCACTGCAATACATTTTGAAAAGTTAGTTTTATGTCTTTATTACATTCTTTTGATTCCTTTTTAAATGTCACTGAAGAAATATTTGAATTGAAAATTTTTGGGCACAGAATTCTTTATTTCAGAAAATTTATTAAAGGAGTAAAGGAACTTGTGATCCTCAATTGAGAGAATATTCAAAATCTTTACTTCTCCAATATATGTATTAATATATTTGTAATATAGTTAAGTATTTGGTTTGTGACATACTCACTGTTTGTTAAATTAGTTTAGTCCAGGTTGGTTATTCCAGGGGAGTGGACGAACACATTGATAATTCATGGCCCTATTTGAAAGACTGCCAACAATCACAGCCTCTTTTGTTTTTATAAAAAGATACGAAGTTTTGCTCTTATTATTTGCGTTTCCGTAAGTTATTCTACACACCAGGTTCATTTGAAAAAAGCCAATGAATGAAATCAAAAGACTGAACGAACCACATTAAACTACTAATTATTCCGAATGGTACTTACTGCACTGGTACTTACTACTCTTTAGTTCGTGTCTCCCAGATAAATGCTATGTGGTCTCCCATTTCAGTTGAAGCCGAGGACCCATTTTGAGAAACCCTGTCATGAAGAGAAAGTTCTGTGAAAATGCCAATCTTACCATTTTATTTTTCTCCAGATATGACTTGGATGCTTGTGATATTCAAGAGAAATATCCCGATAACTTTCAAGTGTCGATAAACGTTGATATGAGGAATGAAGAAGAGCCTGAACCAGGCATCGAACATCCTTGGGATGATTTTTCCATCAGAGGAATAAATCCTAAAGTTCTATTTTCAACTAAAGAAGAACAACAAGAAATTTTGCTCAAATTTGGTATGCCGTATTTTACACATATCGTTCAATAGGATTTTTACATAGGACACACAAGTATTTTTACTTCATTTAATACTCTGTGAGGGCCAGAACAATATATGCAATTTATGCAAACAATATATGCAATTTGCAATTAAAAATGATTTTAAGATTTTATGGACGTCCTATATATTTGGAAAAAATGCTTTTCTTTGTAGCTATTTGATTAATCAATTTTACATTTCTGATTGTCATATGGGACCTGTTTTTATTCCCCTAAATATATCGTTCGCTTTATGATTTAAACCATCTTGGTATTCGCTCCTTCAGGAATATTATAGGAAGATTAGGTATTGACCATTATATATCGTTTCCTCGAAAATTTAGCCCTACTCTTAATAAGATAAGACCTAGTCGACAGCGCTAAAATTTTTTTTGACCTAGTCGATAGCAAGAAATCTCTCCTACACGTTTTAATTGATCATTATTCCATGTTAAGCAGGTATTTTAAACAAAAAGGTGTTGTTTAATAAGTAAATGGATACAGGTTTTTATATTTTTATTTATTTGAAAATTTCTCTACTTGGTTTTTGATAAATAGGTATAAAAGACATCCCTCCAAAATGTTGTTGCAAAAAAAAAAAGACCCGATGCTACTTTCAGGGAAACTCTGTAAATCAAAAAGATAGTGATATGAAACTCTAGTTCAGACATCATTTGTATTCGCTTTAGTGCCACAAAATCATGTCATCAAAATGTCCATTTGTATGAAAACGCTGAACTCTTGGTGGTTTGACAGTTTATTAGACAACATAATCATGAATACTTGTTATTTTTCTTTAGGTCATGCAGAAGAAGACCCAATGCCTTCTATAACTTACAGCTGTGACCTGGATAAGAAATCTAAACCTGAGAAACCCCAGCCACCTCCCGCGAAACAAGAAGAAAACTCAAAACAACCCAAAGCACAGTCTTCTTCCAAAGGAAGTTTTTTCGATACATTAGAATGGAGTCACGATGAACAAGGACAGACCTCCCAGCAAAAAGGCCCTCCAACCCAACAACGTACCAGTGCCCCAATTCCTCTTACCCCACCTAGTGAAAGGAAAATACCATCTAGCGATTCCGATGTCAATTTACTTGGTTTGTCTCCTCCTGGTACTAATATTTCTCACGAAACACCGAGCGTACCACCTTTAACACCACCTAGTGAGCGAAAAGATATGCAAAACGACGGCCATGCGGATTTACTTGGACTCTCGTCAACGACGCAATCTGCTCCAGAAAAACCTGCCAAACCTCCACAACCCCAACCTGCAAGCAATTTTGATCTCCTCTCTGGTGCTTCATCTTATAAGCCAACCCCGAAACCACAGGAGCAGAGCTCGTCAGAGCCAGATCTAATGGGGGGCATGATGGGGGGTTCACAACATTTTGATCCATTTGGTTCATTTACGACACCCCAATCTTCTGCCCCAAAACCTGCGTCCGATCCGACAGTTTCGCAAACACAGTCAGAATTCATGTCGTTTGATCCATTCGGGTCTGCAAAAACTCCTCCCCATAATTCTAAACAACAGCAACCTGCGTTCCAAAATCCTGGTAATAACTTTGACCCGTTTGGAGGATCCAGTGCAACAAATACGCGAATGAATGGTACTGCACCTCAACAAACGTATTCCACCCCAATGATGTCTTCACAAAGTCGAATGATGAATGGTCGAACACATCAAGCCCCGTCAGCCCAGAGTTCAGACCCATTTGCAGGTGAGAAGACTTGAATGTTGGCACTAAATTTGTTTTTTTGTGTTTTTTATGTTTCACATTTGTTTTCTCATTTTTATATATATGGCACTTATTCACGTAGTTTTCTCTGAACGAGGAGGCTTTGTACAAACAGCCACTGTTAGGTAATAAGCTGCAATTATTTGGTAATATTGAGATCTTTTGAATTTGGCATTGCCTACCCGATTTATTACACTTTGGGCAAGTTGGGGGGCATGGGATTTGAATCTGAGGTGCTCTCACTGTTAAGTCTAGCACTTCAACCACTAAGCCACTGTGTGCCATAATTGAAATTGAGATAATTTTAACCCAATTTTTACATCGGTTGTAGGCGATCTCTTTCGCAAACTAATCTTAATCAATAACTCCTAGTATGCTGCTGTTGGCTTATTGTACTTACTGTGTATTTGGAATACTTAAAAGGAAAAATAGCTTACATTTGATTTTTTTAGGATTACAATAGCATGTCTAACTCCATGTTTAACCGAGAATTTGAAGAGCATTGCATGAAACAAACAATCTGATTTTATTCCTATTATTGTAGATCTTGGTAGTTTTAAGAAGCCATCAATGAATAACATGGGTCAGAAGCAACCCCAACCAATGCCACAACAACAGCAACAACAACAAACCAGGAATCAATACCAGAATCCAAACATGGGTGGTGGGATGGGAAGACCACAGGTTGGATTCGCTTACGATTGCATATTACTTTTGAAATAAGCACTTGCTTGTCGATAATCAGTCGGCTTTGTGTTGTGGCGCATTGTGCTTAATGCTAGGAATACGCTCGCCACCGCACCTCTGATTCACCTGTGTGGGTTCGCAGGTTTGAATCCCCTGCGGGGATGTTGATGTGCGAGAGGATTGTAGGACTTCTCGCCGGGGCAGGGTGGTTCACGTAACCACTGCTCGATTACGGCTTTCTCCACCATCAAGTCCATACATCTGAAAACAAATAACTGGCTAACTAATTCCATACTCTACATGGACTGGTAATCAGACGAGAGGTCGTGGTTCGCTATATTATTAAGCAATCTCATCGTCTTTTCTCTTCCCTCAGGATAAATAGGCAAATACTATCTTATCAGTACTATCATATTGACCATCTGTATGGCCTATGTCAGGGGTGGGCACAACGCTGCTCGCGAGACTTTTTGTGTGGCTCTTCTCGCTAACATAATTTATTATCAAAATTTCAACTAAGTGAAAAACTTTTTTTAAACTTTTTTAATTTATTAAAAGTTGTAAAGAACTTTTCGTCAATGATTAAGACAAATTATGTTTTAGTATGAAAATCACTGAAAAGCGCTGAATTTTGAATTTAAGTCAGTCCAGTCAGCAAATCTTTCGTCACAATGGTCAATGTTTATTGATGCGTCGGCTGTATTGCAGCTTGATTGCGGTTAGTTAGTCTAAGTTACTGTGCGATATGTCATCAATTAAGAAATGAAAGTACCAAGATAAAATTAGAGTTGTCAAGTCAGAATGGAAAGAAGAATACGCTTTTACTATTCAGGAGAATAAACCTTTGTGCTTAATCTGCCATAAGCTACTAAGTCAGCAATGTTAAACGGCACCATGAAACGAATCATGAAAACTTCTTACCAGACTACCCTCATAAATCAGCTATAAGGAAACACAATTTAAATGAGCTCAAACTGTGCATATATTTGAGCATAGCTGCCTTGTTTATCTATTTATTGTTATTAGACTCTTTGTGTGAATTTCTTTTCTGTTCATGGTATTTTAATAATAAAAAATTTACAAATTCTGCGGCTCTTCTAAAGTTCTGACTTGCAGCATGCGGCTCTTATACTAAATAATTGTGCCCACCCCTGGCCGATGTTATTTGAAAATGACAAATGAAATTAATTTCAATTTAGTAGGAAAAAAGAATTTTTGATTCTTAAATTTTTAATTAATCATCTGTGCTATGAATTTTAAGCTGAAATTTGATAATGATGTTACCACATGTTTTTGTCTTGTTTCTTGAATATATTTTAAATTCAAATTTTTTTGGTCAGAAATTTGTTATATTTTTTGTTTCATCGGGAATCTCAAATAGCAAACTATGCAATACCCAAATCTTCGTACATAATGATACTAACTGCAACTCATAATAATTTTTATATTTCTCACAGCAACCTGCTTATCAGCCCGCAAGGCCAAACTACAATGTCGGCGGCTTCTCAGGGGGACAAGGATGGAAGTCAAGTAAGTAGAATCAGCTTTTTATTTTAGATATTGAGATAAAACAGTAAATTCTTTTTTCTGGATGGAAATAAAATTTTCATATTCATTTGATGGAATATGAAATTGTTAAATTATTTTTAATTTTAATATATTTAACTTATTTTAGTTCTATTACGAGTTCGGGTTACTGTCTGTGTTGGCCAAGTGAATACACACTTTGCCCATAGGTTTCAGTCCCTTTACACAACTTGATGTAAAGTGTAAAGTAGGATACAAAATTAGTTACCTCCACAATGGTACATACATTTATAGAGCCCAACAACCCACTCAAAAGAAAGACTATTTAGGTCACCTAGGATTGTTCTTTTTCAATAACTTGAAAACTCATGCTTGGCTGTGAACTGACTGAATATGGAATAAATGTTTTCAATTCCCATATGTTTCGTTCTGGATGGATAAATATTCACATATCACAAGAATAAATAAACTAGTAAGATATGAAATTAAAAACATTACATGACAAATTTCATACTGATTGCTGTGATTGCTACATTCATATTTGGTATTGGAAATAAACATATCCAATAATTTTTCCAGATGTCAAACCACAAGTGAAAGAAGATGCTTTTGATGATTTATTATCACAAAGTGGTTTCACTGCTTCTAAGAAAGAAGAAGCTCGAAGAAAGCTTGCTGACCTGAAGAAAGCAGCCAGAACACAGGACATGGATCCACAGAAAATTAAGGTAACAGAGCAGAACAGTTTTTTTATCTGGAGAATTTGAGAATAACTAATGTGCAATAGCGTAAATGTACATTTTTATTAAGCTGGCTGTGGTTTTCTGTAACATTTTAATCCATAAATCTAATAACTGATTAATTATTCCCATACCAGATATAAACCGGTAACCAAACGAGATGCAGTGGTTCGCCATATGATTGAGTCATCTCATTAGATTTACTCTTCCTGGAAATATGAAAAAATCCTGTCCAATAGTATAGTCGAGATCTTGCTGTATCAGTAGTCCTCCTCAGTCTTTGCTCAGAGAAAGGTCCCTTTCACTTTCGTGTGCATATGACTTGTTTGATTCTCAGAATTTTTTTCTGATATTCGTTTAATTGCGATCCATCCATTATATTGATATATTATTATATATATTGATATAACGATATTGATGTGGACATGTTGTTCCTGATTAGAACTTACTAACATGGGCTATGGGACTTCTGATATAATATTACGTTTATAACATAATAATGATGCCAATCCACAGGCTAGATTTTTTCATTGTTATTGAAGGCTTCTTGTTTTATTTTCAGATCTTAGATTGGGTTGAAGGCAAAGAGAGAAACGTGCGAGCTTTATTATCAACTCTACATACAGTATTATGGGAAGGTACTAAGTGGAAGCAGTGTGGAATGCATCAACTCGTACAACCAAACGACGTGAGTAAAATGAAGTATTTACTTGTTTATTGGTGTAAATCAAGAGTTTCCAAACCGCAGCCCGCGAGCCAATTATGGCCGCGAAACAAATTGAAATGGCGTGCCGAACTTAAGTGAAATAGTTTAACCTCAAATAAATACTAATATGTTTAACACGTTATGTGTAAACTTTTTTGCGATCTAGATAACGCCAAGTGTTACGTCGCGTCCGGCACCCCTCCCTCACCGTTATGCCCTTTTGGCAGCTTTCCTTTCCTGGCCAGCGAATTTCCTTCTGCTTCAAATTTTGGCTCGTGGTCAATCAACATTGGGAACCACTGGTGTAAATTAATGTTTTATTGAAAACAAGCAATACTTAACAAACAGTTCAGTTGTCACCACAAATACCAGTCCAGAATATAAAAACAGAAATAAGACACATGTTGCCTCTGCTACACGAAAGTACTGAATGACCTCTGGAGACCAGCATGTCAGTATTTACACCTAGGAAGCATGCCTCAGTGGTTTCACCCACAATGCCATACCACCATGATATGCTTTCATTGGTCAGTTAAAGACCAATAGGATTAGAACACAGTTATCCCTGGATGACAATCACCTGGACAAAATGTAAATGAGAACACAATTCAACATACTGATCTTCGTTATCAGTTAAAGAGTGTTAATGGGTTTCAATCACATTATATCTTTGCCCAGTAGTGTGAAAATTAGTTCAAATTAAGGTCACAATTTTCTAGGTTCAATAAATCTATTCATTTGGTATGAAATATTTGATTTCAGTTTCCTATGAGCAAAGGATGCTCACAGAATTAGCTCTAAATAATATTTTATTCAATCCTATTAAAAAACAATAGAGCTTTTAGAAAATCAGATAGTGAAAATAGTTGTTTGCGTGACAAATTTGCAATTTTTGATGTAAATACCGGTTTGTTACAAAAATGAGCTATGATATAGAATATATGAATGATATTGAGTATAATTACAATGTAGAACTAGAGCTGCGTGCAGCTTTAACAGGCTTCCCGCGTAAAAAAAAACTGAAGACGCGTTTTGCTCACTGGAGCGTGAAAGCGTGGTCAGTCATGCATAAAATTTGCAATTTATGATGGGGGACTTATTATCTGCATGTGATGTAAATTTCAAGTCTCTAAGTAGTGTCGTTCTCGAGAAGAAGATGAAAATGTAAAATCCTATATTGCTCACTGGAGCGTATCGCCGAGGTCACTCATGCGTATCCTTGACATATCGTATCCGCAACATGTCCATTAATCATTGTTATGAATTTCAACCCAATAGCATGTATCAATTTTGAGAAATCGCAAAAAAACTGAAAACGCGTTTTGCTCACTGGAGCGTGAAAGCGTGGTCAGTCATGCATAAAATTTGCAAATTATGACGGGGGACTTATTGTCTGCATGAGATGTAAATTTCAAGTCTCTAAGTAGTGTCGTTCTCGAGAAGAAGATGAAAATGTAAAATCCTATATTGCTCACTGGAGCGTATCGCCGAGGTCACTCATGCGTATCCTTGACATATCGTATCCGGAACACGTCCATTAATCATTGTTATGAATATCAACCCAATACCATGTATCAATTCCGAGAAATCGCAAAAAAACTGAATACGCGTTTTGCTCATTGGAGCGTGAAAGCGTGGTCAGTCATGCATAAAATTTGCATTTTATTGCTAGTTGAGAACTTCTGCACATTTGAGGTGAATTTCAAGTTTGTAGGACCAATTTGAAAAAAAAATAATAATAATAATAATAATAATAATAATAAATAAATAATAATAATAAAACACAGGAATACAATAGGTTCCCTGCTGACAAGCAGCGGGAAGCCTAATTATCTATACCACTCAATGTTTTTAGTAGGATTGAAATTCCCGTTCATGCAATTGCATTCTTATGGAATTCTATGTAACTTGCGGAAATATATTTTATGGTTAATTCTCAACATTCATTTTGCTTGGCCATACGCATTCAACTTATACGATTAGATGCAGATTGGTATTGTGTCGAGCCTGATAATTTGATTACCCCATTTGCTGATCATCTACCGTAGGAGTGTGCAACGTTTCATACAGGAGGGACGAATACAAATCCAAGCCGCGGTATAGGCTTCATAACGCACCATTCCAAATTGGCACTTCTTGGGCACAATTTGTTTTTGCGGACCGCATTTGGCTCGTGGGCCGCAGGTTGCCTGTCCTGGTCTACTGTCTTTTCTGTTTAATAATCAAGTTTAGGTTAAAAAAATTCACAACTTTATTGTTTATTCAGGTGAAGAAAATGTACAGGAAGGCTTGCCTGGTCGTACATCCAGATAAAGCAACAGGTACTCCCAATGAAGAATTTGCTAAAATGATTTTCATGGAATTAAATGATGCCTGGGCTGAATATGAAGAAAAGGGACATCAAATGTTTACGTAATATGATCTACAATGCTTGGAAAGCCATATTATGAATACTATTTGGGATGTTGTACATGGAAAACTGATTCAAATCCCGCAATTCTATGTCACCTATTTCATTTGATTATTATACCATTATTAGATCAATATTTTAATTTGTTTTTCTGTCTGTACATTGATTTTAAAGCTTATTCGAACCAATTTCAACTTCTGATTAATTGATAAAAACGTGCAATTCGAGATTTTTTTTAAATCTGGAGGTCGCTTCGAATTTTAGGGGTACACTAATTTCACACAAAGTACTATATCCATTGTACTTTTTGGACTTTTGATTCCAGACACAATTATTAGTAAAACTAGTGCAAAACATAAATTTCATGATTTTGAGAGAATACCAGAGAAGCGCTTGCATAACAATGTCAACTTTGACCTGTCCCTGAAAGCCGCATGCTTGCATCGAGCGGGTTGCAAGCTTAAAAGTTTGAAAAGTCCTGTTCTACATCAACTAATCAATAAATGTAAGAGAATTCCAATAATCCCTTGACCCAACAACCTATTCAATAAAAGACAATTTTGATTACCTTGTATTGTCATATTTCAATAACTTGAAAAATCATGATAAGCTGTTAACTGACTGATTATGGAATAAAAGCTTTCATATACATTCACTTTCCCTTATTATACATGTGATTTAGTATTTTATCGACAAATAAATTTATAATTTTCGTATTATACGACCTATTTGTATTCCCATATTCGTGTTTTTGATTATTTTTGGTGCTTTGAGAATTTGCTTCATTCTTAGACTGTAATATACCAGTTATTCATTATGTGTGGAGACAAAGTCTAGTCCTGATTGCTCAATCAGGTCTTCTATATAACTTGAAAATTGCATAGAAAATTATTGAGTGGATATTGAGTCAGTAATAGGAATTGTTTTCCTGAAATACACCTTTTAATTTTCTCGCAAGCGATTTCAAGTAACAGGAAATATATTACGGTAGACTTTTTATGCCTAAATTGTTTTTTTAAGTTTTCCTGTTCTTAGCCTATTATTTATTTTGTTTCTTTTCTGGGGAAATTGTATTTTGGCAGACATATATTTTCCATCAGGAAATAAGTGGTATTGTATAGTGCTGAGCATAGTTTATATAAAAGTGACCAAATGTATAGAATTCACTCTATTGTTTATTAGTTCTGACATCTGCGGATTTTTCGTTTCTGGTGCAATAACAGGTATGGGTTTAGTATAACATAGGCCATTATGCTTTTTCACATTGTGGTAGTAGAGAATGTTCAATTAGGCAAATGAAGTCTTCAAACTTTGCGTGTAACTCTTTATTCATCAGTGACTGTTTGTGCAAACCCTCCTTTGAAGATATGAAATAATAATAAAATTATATCAGTGTAATCCGCCAGATTTCAAATTACCAATTTGATTGTTTAAACCAGTGGTTTTCAACCGGAGCCTGTGTTTGAGTTGGTGGGAGGGGGGGGGGGGGGGGGGGGCTACAAATGCTAGACGCCAAACTGATTTTACTTTTCCCTTACAATAAAACTCTCAGTTCTTCCCAGTTTCCTTGCTTGACAAGGATATTTTACAGGGTGTTTTTACTTTTTTGAGCATGAATTGTTTGAACCTAATGGAATTTGTAATCTACCAATCAAATTAACATTATAAATACCAGTGTCATGACAAACAGGGGGGGTCGTGAGTGCATAGGGCCTCCAGAAGGCGGCACGAGCCATAAAGGGTTGGGAACCACTGCTATAAACCCAAGATTCGAGTGAATAATTTGACAAAGAAAACTGTAATTTTATTTATATTATTTTGAATTATTTTCAAATAGCATTATGTTTAAGATTTCCTTTTAGCCAACTGATTTATTGTGAGTTTTTTCATGTGTAACAATAAAATAGTACTTGTTAATATTTGCTGACGTTATTTTTATTCTTTGAATGTGTAGAATATATATTTATTCTGAATGTTAATTGTACTAAAATGTATATAATCGTTATTTAATAGTTTTATCTCAAACAAACTTGTCATATGGAATCCACTACTCTGTCGATGATAAGTGTCTATATAGTTTCTTTATGCATTACTTAGGATGCCATCTAGAGCAGGGGTGGGTGAGGATTTAGGACCAGGGGCGAAAACTAAATTTAATCGCAATTTCAACAAATTCCTTGAGCTATCTTTTGGCTAAAACATCAAAATTTGGCTTTAGTTTGGCAGCATCAGGAGGGCCAGAATCAAATGGGTGTAGTTTGCCCCAGTCAGATCTAGAGGCTTATCCTTTCCAGAATACAATTCAAAATGGCTGAACAGGCGATGATGAATTTGTAAGCTTTTTTAAGCAGACGTGTGTTCTGTTAACGTCCCATAATAGTTATTTCATATATTCGAAATAGACGAAAACCACGACGCTAACTATGAAAGTTATCCTATTATATTATAAAAAAGTCTTAAATGCATTTACATCCATAAAAGTATGTGGATTTCGAATCGAAAGTAACAAGACATACACAGTTTAACCAAACGCTTAGATTAATGCTGGCACAAAGAATACCTATGCTGTTGATTTAGTTTCTGCGGGATAAACTATTTATCCTTCCTCCATGCCTTTGTGCCAGCGGGGTGTATACATACCCATATAATTGAAAATAACTATCCCAAGTAGTTCAAGAGTCTTTCTTTGTTAATGTGCAGCAAGCTTGACACTTGGATCACACAAAATATTGTTTGGATTCACAAAAATTCAGTTTACTAACAAAAACTATACTCTACCCAAAATATTTATAACCTAGGATTATTATTTAAAATATATATTTGATATGCTTGATTTCAGTTTGTTATTTAATCATGCTCTGCACGATATCTGTGCACTGTCGTCTTTTATTATAATCGTATGCATTGATTCTATTCAATAAAATTTAGGATTGAGTTTAGTTGGTCTTTCAGTTTTATATGGTCTCTGGTTTAAACTCTTTTAGGATAGGATTTTCATATTTATTCCCAACGAGAAAGAGGCCGATAAGTGAGCTTAATCATTTGCTGTACCACACCATCTCATTCGATTACCGGTTCATGTCCAGTATTGAAATGGTTAGCCAGTTATTTGTTTCAGATGCGGAGGCTTGATGGTAGAGGAAGCCGTAAGCAACTAGCAGTTAAATGAACCCTCCTTCAGCGGTGAGAAGGGCAGCAACCCTGTTTTACATAATTATTCTCCACAGGGTAATCAAACCTGCGATGGTAAGCATATTCCTCAGCAAGGTGGCAATCGCTAAACTATATTATCAGGTTAAACTCTAGTGAGATGAAACTCCGTTTCTGTACCTGTGTGATTAAGGATCAGAAGTGCTGGTCCTAATATTAAGTTGCATTTATATTCAAGTGCCAAATAATCGCTTAATAGTCTACTCAAACGTAGGCTAGTCTTTTAAATGATAGGATAAGTTTCATATTTATTCCGGGGGATAGGAAAACGGATGAGATGTTTCAATCATATGGGGGACTGTAGTCTTATGTCCGGTTGCCAGATATTTATTTTAGATGCATGTGCATCGCTTCATATATATTCAGATTCGAGCCCTGAAAAACCATAGCCCAACTCACAAGATATTTAATATAGCAAGCAGAGTACTTTCCAAGGAGAATTCAAAAATACTTTGAATGTGGCTGTGAGTTTTTACTGTGTACATAGCAAGGGCTTTAACCCAAATGAATAAACTAAGAAAAACACCTCGGTGAATATCTCATCAAACTTAAAGTAGTAAACCATCTTGTAAAGCATTTATTTCTTCGCAATTTTTTTTTCATAATTCACCCTTTTGTCTTGAAATCCTCGTAGCTCCCATCACTCGCATGAATGTAGTATACTGATCTCAAAGTTTGTAGTTTTTGATTCATAATATTTCCAATGAATTAAAATACTTACAGCAGAGAATAGGACTTATGCATGCTATGCCCCTTTTTTGCTTCACAAAAAACAAAATTACACTTTTTAGTCTGATTCAACTTTTATTCACAAAATTCAACCTTATTAATGGCAATGAATTGTTTACAAATGAAAAAACACAGTATTATACACAGACAAGTGCAGAAGGCATATGAAAAATATACAGTTCAAAATGTACTGATTCCCTGTCTACACCAAACATGAGAAATAAAATTCAAAGCTAAAACTATGATTTACAACAGTGGGAGGTCTATATTTTTTTAATTTTAACTCGTTTGTATAAATCAAGTTTAATAAACAACAGAAAAGCAATGTTAAAGTGCTGTCTCTGATTATTTCATTTTGTAATTAGAATTGCAAAGTCAGAACATGTGTCATACTTCACACCTTCGAAACTCGGCGTGGTAGTTACCACGTTAAAATACTTAAGTTTATTTCAGAAGACTAAGAAAATACTCCTATGTGATTGAAATTATATTCAATTCAATGCAGTCAGAAGTACGGTAATCGTTATGCCCTAACTCAGTGGTTCCCAGAGTTGATTGACCGTGGTCAAACATAGAAGTGGCCAGGAAAGGAGGTGATACCAGTCGTACAATTCAATATATGTATAATTGAATATAAACATCCTTGAACTGTGATAATGACGTAACAATTGGTGGTAACTGGAACGCAAAAAGAAGAAAAACATAGAATGATAAATTATTTCACTTAATTTCGGCGGGCCATATCAAATATGGGAACCACTGTCTCAACTTCTTAATGGTATATTCTTACTTGAGACCGCATAGTTTGATGATGGTTTAGTAGTATCAAATATTCTCCGATATGGACACTAATATTCTCATGGAATCACTAAAATCAAGGTAAAATGTTGGACTCAAATGATAAGAAAAAATATTTACAACAAAATTTGAGAAAAATCTACGAATACCTATGTACAGTACAGAAATTAAGCAATATAAAGACGTGGTGGGCTGTTGAATCAGAATTTTCAATAATTTTTGTTCAAGAATTTTCAATCAAAGTCAGCCGTAGTAAACAGATTAAAGAAAAATTTAACGAATGGATTAGAATTGTTTAGGATTAAATGCAATCAAATATCAGGGTGTCATAAAGTCTCTTTACAATTTTAATTTGTTATGAAGTCAGTTCTCAATATATCTTAGCCGGGTTTGTTGTTTTTTAATCAGTAATTGCTGAAGTATTTTTACTTCATTTAATACATCTGTGAAGGGCTAAACAATATAATATGGTATTGATAAATTCCCTTTGCAATTTTAAGACTTTGTGAGACTTTATGGACACCCTATACATTTGTGAGGCGAATTGAGTATAAATAGAGTATGAATGGTGTTTATTTATTTTCAACATGAATATACCTGGGGGCAATCATGCACTATTTTGTGAGGCATGTATCGTAATGCTGACTAGGAACAAAGAAACATTGAGTTTAGAAACTTGTTTTTGTCAGCAACAGAACTAACGAGGAAGACAATCAAAAATCGAAGACTACAATAGTCTAACTAAAACCGTTCATTATTTACTCAATTTTATACAATGAATATCATTTGCTGGGATTTTGGATACGTGTGATTCACCAGCGATCTGAAATCCGATGTCTTTATTGTACGGAAGTACCACATTTCCAACAATTGAGTGACCGAACCAACCCGCCCCATTCCTTTTGAATAAAGTCGCTGAGACTGTTGGTGTGTAACCAAGCACAGCCCACATGGAAGATAAAACTGTGTTCCGTTGGTGAACTAAAACCATTTTTTCAACTTCAGATCTGTCGAAACTAAGCTCAGTACAGCCTTTGTAGTCTCCTACAAGCTGACGACCACCATGAAGTTCCATAATATCCCACGTTCCGATTTGACAAAGTGCGTTCCGTGTTTGGTCAATTTGAGAATAAGATAATTTCCCAGAAAAGAAATATGGAATCAAAGGATCTGTGATCATAGTCGATATTGGTTGTTTGAAAGAGGCAAGGAATTTTTGTAAATTTTTATGTGTGACAACATAATAATCATTCTCTATTAAGTCATCTATTTTACAGTTTTTATTCATCAATACAACTCTTGGGAAGAAAGATCTTTCATGTAAACATATTCCCGCTCTCATTAAATGATTTCGTAAAATTTGAGATTTGTTTCTGATAGACAAAACAGGGTTAGGAACCTGAGAAACAGAGGACGTGAATTTACCAGAATTTTTCCGCTTTTCCCAGTAAGATTCATCCTTACAGAGAGCTAGTTCTCCGCCATAGTTTTTTACCTCGATGCAATATATTCCTTCCCCTGTTAAGATCACAATATCTATTTCATGACGATGAGTTTGAAAATTATCTGGAATGCGTAAACGACGAAAAACGTCTGAATTTTTCAATCCTGCTGATGATAGAAGTAGATTTTCTAATTCTTCTTCTGCTTCTCTTCCCGCCTTTTCCGCTTCATTGTCAACATGTTTAGGAGGACTGCTTGCCTGTTGGGCTTGTATGAGTCTGCTAGTTATTCCAATCATTTTGAATCTAAAACGAACAAGTTTCATTTAATTTTACAGTTTGGGAAAGCTTTGAAAAATAAGCAATACAAAAATAAAAAGAAGAAAAGTTTCAAAAGTCTGATTTCTATCTCTAAATGAATAGGAACCCAGTAAAATTAGAAGTATTGAAAGATTGATGCTTTCTAATCTATTTGAGGCATGACAGCAATAAATCTGTAATTCTATATTGAAAGCAGAGTAGTGCAGTAGTGTAAGGCCTGTCTGGATTTCATGGCCTTTTTGAACGAGAAATCGGGCGTGCAATCAGAAATTCCCGCGTGCAAATAAGAATTCCTGGCGTGCAATTATAGCTCACGACGTGCAAAACAACTGCACTCGCGTGCAACTGACTTTGACATCAGATACCTCTCAATACATCCGCGTAAAATTACCGGTATCGGATAAAAAATACATTGAATCAGAGAAAAAATGAACGTTTGACCTTTGACCCCAAACATTATTTTCATACTTTGTCACTAATTTTGGGAGTGTTTGAGCAACTTTAGATACCTGTACTGTTCAGTACATTCGTGTTAAATTATTGTATGAAAAATACGCTGAATCAGAGCCGTACTTGGCCATTGGTGCGGAGGCGATCTTTTCGTTCATAACTATTCTCACGGGATTCCTATTTCCTATCATTCAACACGATATGGACCTTTCCCCGAGCATCGACTTCCTTGTTTACTTCGCAATCAGCAAGATGCAAAAAAGGACGTAACAATGAGAGGAATTTTTCGCGGGTCAAAGGTTGGGGAAAGGTCCATGGTCTTTTTGCTTCGCAATATTTCGATCAGACCAAATCTTGCAAGCTGGTATTTGTCGACAATTGTGGAGTTATAATATTTTGGCATCTTTATATTACTGGATTATTGATTTTAAAACCATTTAAACCGATTTACATTGGTGAGCAATTGCAAATTTTCGGCGTGCAAAATTGATTTCGCTCGCGTGCATTTTTGCGGAGCGCTAGCGCCCTCGGGCGTGCACCTGCCATGAAATCCAGTCTGGGTGTAAGGTACCTACACTAATTGCTGAATTGTGTAATTGTATCAAGTTACTGTATTATCTTTCATTGGGTCTAAAAAAGCACACGACGTTGGTGCTTAAACAATGCCGAACAAAAATCAGAAAATGTGATGTGAAAATAAATGCTGTAATTGCTTGAATAGCTGAATAGTGCCAAACAAAATATGATGCAAAAATACAACCCAAATTGTTTTTTTACAAATAAAAGTCAGTTCTGCAGTTAGTTTAATACATATGCCTAATACACAGAATAACGGAATACAGTCAGACACTTATAATTCTGTAATTGATTATACTAGATTTCATATTTCAGTATTTACATTATTTATTTTAGCTATCTTATCAAATGGTCAACCACTGACATATCAGCATATAGATCCAGTATTTACAAGTACTGGGTACGTCTGCACGTACAGATAACTGTATCAAGAGTCTGGCCAATTCATTTGAAAAATTGGAACAAATAAAGTACTGAAGTAGACCGTAGGTAGCATAGAAAATTAATACAGTAATATTGAATTTATTTACCATTTTTACAATGATTTCTTCATTTCTACTCTTGATAAGATCCCCCGATGAAAGTTAAACTCCAACAGCAAGTTACATTCAAAAGAATTCAGGAACATAAACTAAAAAAAATAGAATGAATTGCGCCAGCGAGTCTTTGTTGTCGTTCTTTGTTTACGTCTGGTCGTTACGTCAGCTGTAATGAATCATGCGTAACATGCTGAGGTTCCGTGCTGAATACCAAGATATTCAGGCGGAGAGTACTTCGTATGGCACACCACCGTGTCCGGTTATCCACGTATGTAAGGTATGAGAATCAATATTTAAATATTTGTTTCATATTCATGAAAAGTCCATATTTGTTTTGAAGGGGGAAAAAAGAAAAGTGCGCTCGTCGTTCTTTTAAAACGGCTGAGATCGCAAAATACAATACCCACAAGCACCGCCTGGTTGTCATAAAATATTAATAACAATCTTCTTTTCTTGACTTGGTAAACAATAAATTCATTACTATGTGGGGTTATGGAAAAGGCATAAATTTTTTCTCAATCTCTCTTTTCCGTCCAAAAATAGTGTTTAACTTCGAATTTTTAGTGTGTAGACCAGTGGTTCTCAACCTTTTATGGCTCGTGGCCCCCTTCCGGAGGCTTTTTGCACTCGTGGCCCCCCTGTTCACTATTCTAAAAAAATTGACGTGTTAGATTGTATTATGTATTTACGACCTTTTATAGAATGCAAAGACAAACTACAGGCAAAAAAGTCAAAGCTTTTTTAGTAAATAATCAATGGGAATCTTGCGCTCGGTTCTGTCTAACTAGGTTCATTATATTAGACACCGTCTTTCATATAGCCAGGCAATTGTCACTGTCAACATCCAGACGGTTACTAGATTTTGCTTTGTTGGTAAAAAGATCAGAAAAAAATTAGATTCGCACAGTTAGGTTGTGACAAATTGAACTAGCAATGAAGAATCTTTCTTACTAAGTAGTAGGTAAGAATCGCAAGGAGATAACCAGAAACTAGAAAAGTCTTCTTTGCTCGATTTCAAAGCAAACTTGTTGGCAAAAAATAAGCAGCCATGTCACCAATAAAGCCAACGTAACTGTGGTTCATTTTCGTATTATGGGCATTGGGAATTTACATATAGGCTTCTGCAGTTATATGATATCGACGGTTATGTCGCAGTCTAGAGAAACTGCCCGTCTGCAGGTTAGACGGCCCACCAACGAGCTATTCTGACTAGTAGATTCAAAATTCCATTGTGATCAAACAATTCACACATACAAAAAGTGAATACACCTCGTGACTGGAAACAATCTATTCAGGTAATAAAACTGAGGTGAACGGGGAATTTTCTTTTAAATGGAAAGTATGCAAATGAAGTCGCTTCACAATCAATTTTTAGCCTTGTGTCGTGGCCTCCCTTGAACTGCTTCGTGGCCCCCTTAGGGGGCCCCCGGCCCCCGGTTGAGAACCACTGGTGTAGACTGTAAACACTTTAATCATCCTGATCACGCTTTCTCTCTCGTGCTCCACACGGGGTTTTAATATGGACCTTTTCAGAGCATCGACTTCCTTTTTTACTTCGTGACATTGCCCAATCAGCAAAATGTAAAAAGTGACGTAACAATGCTCCTTTTCGGATCCGCTCAGACACTTTTTTCACCCAAACAGATTTGCGACCGCTCTATCAGATATTTAAGCACTCCGTCATTTTCATAGATTTGCATGTCAGTTTTTAGCTGCGTTTCCAAGAAATAGTTACGTATATATTAAAGAACTTATTTGTCATTGTAGTGTCCATGATTCTAAACAGTGACCGCTTTTATTGTTTTGCTTATATAACTAAACTGGCAACTGTAAGTTTGGGCATCCTGACCCATTTGGTATTGGCGCGATCTCTTTCAGCGTAAGCCGCTTCGAGGTAGGACGTGTAAATGTGTGTGTTGATCAAACAAGGGGGGTGTTAGTATCGTTTGTTAGGCTTAGTTTAAATTTATATCCATTATGTTTTTCTTGTTTTATATAGTTATAATCGGTCCCTGCTGTGTGGAAGCACTGCATTTTACCGGATTTCTACTTGACTGCAATTTCAACAACTTTTGACTGTTTCCTATACTAAATTATTCAGCAATTAACATCTTTGGACAATAGTTTCAAACATTGAAAGAACCATATCAGATAGAACCGCGTCATCAAGAATAAAGGGGTCTTACAACTTACTGAATACAGCGCGAAACAGAAGGGAACCAGCGCAAAACAGGGTCCGCAGTTATTACGACCTCCTGCAACGAAAAAAACAAACCGGTATATTTACAAGGGTATGTACCGGATTCTAGGTCATCATGCGAAATTTTATCTACTTTTTTTTAATCTAACCCTAAAGCCAGATCAATTAAAACTGTATCCATAGGGAAAATGTTCTAAATTATGGTACCCAAAATGTGTCACCAGCAGGGGCAGACCTGCAATTACAGCCTACATGCATTGGTTTGTGTTTTCAATTTGCTGGTACACCAACTCAGGAAAAAAGGTGCCCCAACTCATTGCAAAATTTATTTCTGCTTTGCGCTGTATTCAGTAAGTAGTAAGACCGAGAGTAAAGTGCTCGCACAATTATCTATTTTAATCGGCAACAACGCGCACACCAACATTGTGTGGTGCCGTAGCCGTTATAGTCCTTATGTCTTTGGAGGAGCTTTAGTTGTAGGAGTCGTAATTAGATCTCAATACCGATGCTAAAATTAGCTATTAGTACGACAGTACCTGTAGGTGTAGAGGCACATGGTTGGATAATTTTAATAAAAATAAACGGTGACCGTACATTTGAACCCATACATTTCCACCCGTATATCCGCGGGTTCAATCTATATCAGGATGCTAAAATCCGTGGGTTAGGGTTAGTACGGGTTCAAATATCCGTAAAAAAAATTACCATAGGTGCAATAGTATGCAGGTGCAATTACGGGTTCAAATGTAATGGAACCGTTTCAAACATGTAAACCAGTTTATAATCGTCAACACTCAAAAACATAAGCATACTTTTTTCCAATAGTAAAGTATAGGGAAAATGTTTCCGGGTATATCCTAAGTTCAAGGAATATGTAGGTAGGCTATAATATCACATACTAATTCCCCACCCTGTTTTGTATTATTTGAATTATAAAATCTTGCTGTCCGCTCAAATTTTTCATATATATAAATAATCATCCTATGATAGTAAACGAAAATACAACTTTCTATGGGGAAAAGACATTTGTGTAATATTGCAAACTGTGCAAATCTACAATTGTGTCAAGAGTTTCAAATGTGACAAATCATGGGACTTTTGTACTTTGTAAAATTTTTGGCCTTTTTGTGTCTTGACTTGGCTTTTTGGATCACTTGGATCTGGCAACAGTGGCTCCACAAGCAGCGCGTGTAATCATTATTTTATTTATTTGTTTTAGGAGTCGGTTGTTGTTTACGTTTTGTATAATATGCTGCAAAGAACGTAAAAGTTGTAACTCTACCGAGAAGTGGGATGGGAATCGACGCAAGATGTAACAATCGTCTTTACTGGCGTTAACTGAAGAGAAAATGCTTTCATTTAAATTAAATGGAGGTAAGTTTCCCTGTAGTTACTTTGTTCATTTGAAATTCAGCGATCGAAGTCTTTTTTTATTTAACATAATTTCTAGAAGTAAAATGATAAGAATGGAATGGTACTGGTATGTTTGCGCATAACATTTATTTTAGGTGTACACTATTAGGTCTATGTAGCTTTTTTATTTTATCTCTATTTCTGCATTAAACTTGAAAGTGTGAGGAGCGCACAAATCGCTCACAAATTTGTGAATACTCACTCTGTAATAGCAATTAGACGTATTGTAATGACCTCGACCTTCAAGTTGGTAGTAGCTGTAAGTAAATTTTTATTAAAACAAAATAGCATTATTATCGTATTCTACAACTTTTTTTGATATCAGTTGTGCTAGTCTCAAACGATCTTTCTCGTAGTAAATGTGATGAACTTAATACAGAAAGAAACAAACGTGTATACTAGGCTTCTATTAGCTCAAACGTCGACTAAGAGTCTTAAAGCAGCACAAACCAAAGAATGACTTTCAGATCAAAACACCATGCTACTAAAGGACGAACAGTATACGTCAGCAGGGTCAAATGTCGTGGCTGTTTCAGGCGTTGTTAGATTTTAAGACATATATCACCACATTCTCCCCAGCTGATGGAAGTAAAACAATAAAAGTACAATAATAACCCAAGTATGGAAACATTAATCTGAAATAAAGGTATTTAACTTATGGCTACAAAATTTGCACAGCGCGAAACGTTTTTATGCGAGAACAGCCTCACCCCAAGATGACGCTGCAAGGCAATAATTATTCTTATTATCTATTGGAATTAGGGAATTCCCCCGTACATTATTTCGAAGCAATGCTGTTCTGGCACTCTTAGGTTGAAGTTTCTGGAGAAAATTGAACACTACATATTAAGTTAGGATTAGTAATAGTAGAATACCAAAGAAATTACATTACTCATACTGGCAGCTAATGAGAAAATACATCTTCATGACTGTAAAAAAACCTCAATAAACATGACAAAATAAGAAATATCAAACAAAACTTCCACTCCTGGCTCCAATATTGACAGAATCCGATTTCACATCCCAAATCGATTATTGGTATTGTAAACAATCGACCGGGTTGGGATGATTGTCACGATAGGTCTATATCCCGGTACTTCCGTAGTATGTGTACCAGGTTGGGGTTAGGCCATTATTTTATTTCGATTTTCCTTATTTTAGTTATATTACGAGTTCGGGGACTGTAAGTCAAGTGAATATACCCCCTGTCTATAGGCTTCAGTTCCTTTTCACAACTTGATGTGAAGTAGGTGAACAAAATTATTTATCTACATATTGATACACATACTTCTGGAGTGCACTAATCCCACCTGCGTTTACCAGATAGTTGAATTTTTATCGTTATTCTGGGTTCGATTTTGCATACCCCTTAATTCATTTACCGAGTATGAAAATTGTGCCAAATCGCTACTCTCCGCTTAAAAAAGCTTTGAATATTAACAGAAAAGCCTCAACTCCAAACCCCCGATCAATTACAGCAGTTAGACCAGGCGTGGGCACGGTTTTGAACCAGGGGCCAAAAATTTTGCCCACTTAGACTGGCGGGCCATGAAAGTGTGACGTAAAAAGTTACATTTTATGAACAATGTTCACAGTATTACAAAGCAAAGGTGGAAAACAATACGCCTCGTGCCAAAACTAAATTTAACCGCAATCTTAACAAATTCCTTGAGCTATTTTTAGCTAAAACATCAAAATTGGATTTTAGTTTTGTTGTGGCAGCATCAGGCGGGCCAGATTGATTTACCCAACGGGTCGGATTTATGCCCGCGGGCCATGTCTGAGTTAGATCATTAATGAAAGTTGTTATTATGTGTCTAATTGCAACAACTCTGCGGCTTTCATTCTGGTTTCTTCATCAGTGTATTGTGACGCCAATTCGTTTTCTGGTTTTGTTCCAGAACTTCCAGGGTTCGCCGGTCTATAGTAATCATAGTCCTCCAGAAGCTCCTCTGTCGTCGAGATTGCTGAAAATATTGTATTTGTTGATTGACCAACTCTTAATTCAATCATAGCAATATATTTTATTAACTAGGCAAATCTGGGTTATGACATAGGATAGGATTTACATATTTATCCTGGGGGAGGGGAAAGACAAAAGGCGGTTCAATCATATGGCGAACCACGGCCTTTCGTAAGGTTACCATTCTGTGTCGGGTATGGGATTAGTTACCAGTTATTTGTTTTCGGAAGCATGGACTTGATGGACCTCCGGAAGTATGCGCACCAAGAAGGCGCACAACCTGAACTCAGGTTGTGTACCAGGTTAGGGTTCAGGTTATGCGACTCATTGGTGCGCATACTTCAGGAGTACTTGATTGTGTAAGAAGCCGCAACCAACCAGCGGTTACCTGGATCACCCTGCGGCGAGGAGGAGTTCGGCAATACTCTCCCACAAAACTATCCACGCATGGGATTCGAATCTTGGAGCTCACGCATGGTAATCAAAGTTGCGGTGGCTAGCGTATTCCTAACGCTTAGTACGATGCGCCACGGCTTACTATTGCTCAGTTGGTCAAACAGTGACATAGCGTGAATTTAAATTAAATCGACAACAGCAACGATACGACTTTGGTGTATATATATTACAATTATTAGGATGGGATTTTTATCCTTTTAACTTCTCGGTATTGTGACGCAGTTGCGACCCCCCGGGAATAACATCTCGATGCCAATAAAAGACCTCTTTTGCAATGAGTTTTATATAAATTATGCCTGAAGAGATCTGCCGTGGTGTCAATATTGAAGATTCGTTTAAGTCAACGCCAGTTGGTCTCAACAACGCTCGATATGTCCATGTTCGTAAATGGATTAGAAATGAATGACATGCATGACTCAAGACCATCCAACGTGTGTGATTTCATAATTGGAACATTGAATGACCCATGGCATTAGCGAGGCTACATATGAATAAAGGTAATCGTTACAATAATTAATATATTGTCATCCCTGTCATCTCCATATATTGTTCTCAAGTGTGATTCAAACGAGAATTTAGACTAGAGATCTATGTGTTGAGAACCACGGCTTTAACCCATAGCCTTGACTACAGACAGGGTTGCCCATTTACGGCGGAACGTCATTCAAAAATGCGAAATTGATCTCGAAATTCATTTTCACTAGATCCGAATGTCAATGTCATAATTAGGCTTATTGTATAACCTATTGTATTCCTGTGTTTTATTATTATTTATTTATTAATATTATTATTTATTTTTATTATATTATTTTTTTTTTCAAATTGGTCCTACAAACTTGAAATTCACCTCAAATGTGCAGAAGTTCTCAGCTAGCAATAAAATGCAATTTGTATGCATGACTGATCACGCTTTCACGCTCCAGTGAGCAAAACGCGTCTTCAGTTTTTTGCGATTTCTCAAAATTGATACATGGTATTGGGTTGAAATTCATAACAAAGATTAATGGACATGTTCCGGATACGATATGTCAAGGATACGCATGTGTGACCTCGGCGATACGCTCCAGTGAGCAATATAGGATTTTACATTTTCATTTTCTTCTCGAGAACGACACTACTTAGAGACTTGAAATTTACATCACATTCAGATAATAAGTCCCCCCATCATAAATTGCAAATTTTATGCATGACTGACCACGCTTTCACGCTCCAGTGAGCAAAACGCGTCTTCAGTTTTTTTTACGCGGGAAGCCTGTTAAAGCTGCACGCAGCTCTAGTTTTATATCGCTTTTTTTCCACATAAATAGTTATCTAATATTTTATCTATATATGATGTTTAGTAGTAAACAATGTACATATCGGAAAAAGAAAAGCCGTAATGTTTGTTATTCGAATTTAAATATGTTTCCTAATTTGACTAAATCCTAAATTGGTTATATATATTTGGTTTGACAAGTGCGATCGAGCAATATAAAGAGTTAAAAATCAAATTTTGATAAATCAAACACTGTGGTCGGGCTACAATTGACATGAACAACTGTATATTAATGATAAAATAATAAATACCTTTTCCATTTTTTTGTTGTTTTCCTTTCTGCCTTTTTATTTTTCGTTGACAAGCGCATATGTACCAGCAGACCTTCCATTTACTTCCTATTCCACAGCATCTTACGCGTGCTTGTTGTTTCAACCTTACTTTTTGGGTACACTAAAGAAAATATTATTGCATATCAGAGGGACAATACGCACTCACATCCCATACAATTTCAGGTACAAATACTACGTGAGTCACTTGGCTTGTCTTCGTACTCGTAATAGAACTAAAATATGGAAAATTGGAATAAAATTATGACCTAACCTGGTACACATACTATGTTCAGGTGTCCGCCATCTTGTTGCACATAATACGGGAGCGCAACTCGATGTACTTCATCGTAGTTTTTTATATGAATTTTTTCGTTTATTTGAGAATTAACTATTCACATATTATGACTTTGTATCGGCCAGACTGGCAGTCCACTATCTTGCTCAAACTATGACCAGATTAAGTGAATATAAAAAAATTCCCGCTAAGACTCACCGTAGCAAATTCATGAGCAAATTCTTCAAGCTGTTCTGTCTTCGCAGCAAGTGTGTCTAATTCTGTATTTCGTTGTTCAACCAGATTTAAGACGTTGTTTCTGAAACATATTTAATTTTTATAGCAAAAACCTTATATTGGCAGTGGTTCTCAAACTTTTTTTCTGAATTGTCCCTTCGCCTAGTTTAGAACTATGTTTCTTTCCCTCCATAAAACAACTTCATTTGTTCAATCTTTATCGGAGTCTTAGCTGGTATTATACGCAAGTTGCACTCATGTGTCAAGTCGAGTTTATTTTTTCCAACCAGTAAAAAATATCACAATCATAAATTACGACAAAAAAATAATTTACACAGTTTTACTGGGGAAGAGAAGTCGCGGGGAACCAAACTAGTTATCGAGCAGCGACACCCAAGGTTCTAATATCTTAATTAAAAAAATATGAATCCAGGAGTTTTGAAACTACTATACCATATATTTATGGTGAGTACCGTATTAAATAACAAACTAAACCAGAGATTATATACGAGAGATTAGGATCATAAGACCAACAGATGAGTGAGGAATTCCCCATTTCAACGGAATCGCTATAAGCAGGTGCTGTTACGAAAATCAGTCTGGAGAATTTTGAAGGTGTCCTAGGATCTAGATAACCACGTGTTTACAGTGTGGAGGCATCGGTAGAAAGAGTGAGGAGTTATAAATCACGCTGACATTATGAGTTTTATAATAATAATAAATTAAGCTACATTATTTCACTGCCGGTAAACGGGCAACTGTAAGGTCTCGTACCTTTCCCGTGTGTGCAAAACTAGGTATTATCGTACTTATACTACAGCAAATACAAAACAAAATTTCTCTTCAAGAACAAAAACATTGCTCATTCGGTAGGAACGTGGTACAATAAATTTTATTTTTAGAGCTTTGTGCAAAGTTTCAACGTATTATTTATAAGCCGTAACAACGTATTAATTGCGGGCAAAATTGCGAGAGAATTTGCGTCTTCTACCGTCAGAGCTGAAACGCTTTAATTAATACCACCGCTGAATTACCGCAAAACTCGGTCAAATACACTTTGATTGCTATCGCGAACTGTCGAACCTGGTCTTCAAATTATTTAGCCTTGAAAACTTCACAGTTTATGCAGATCAGCTGACACATACACCACCAGGTATCAATAGTAACATTCGTATGAAGTATCAAGGCACTATCGGGGTATCTCAACACACGTCGACCACTCCTGTCGAACGTATCCTTCGTTGCCGATTTCTCAATGCAGATGCATTGTGGACGTAATGCGCAAAACGGGCGAAAACATACATGCCCGTTTTGTTTTAGGCGGGTGGTAGCGAGCAATGGTTAACTCTAAAACCCAGGACTGATAGCGCTATAAACCCGTTTAGCAAATACATACAGTATTGAAGATAAAGAGAAAGCGTTGCCGCCATATTTTATCAAATTCAAGAATCAATTGTTGCAATAATTCAAACTGCTCGCGTACGTGGTACGCGTACCACAGGTTAAGAACGACTGATTTATTCAGTAGGACAATTTCATGGTACCTCTAACAACAACTATATTTTACTGTCAATACTAAAATTTATTAATAAGGAAAAATGTTTACTCTAGCTACAAACTAGGGCTATACACATACATGCATATAAATAATATAAGATTTTTCATATTTATCACTGGGAGAGGAAAGCCGATAAGATGACTTAGTCATATGGCAAACCACAGCCTCTCTGTTACCTGTCATTGTCAGATAGCTAAGGAGGTATTAGGGGATCAGTCAACCAGTTATTTGTTTCAGATACATGGTTTTATGGCAGAGAAAGCAGTTATCGTCCGGAGTTTATGTTAACCACCATACGGCACAAAGAGTCCAGCAATCCTCTCGCACATAATTACCAAACTAGATAGCGATCGGAGACCGCCGACTTGTCGATCTAAACTGCGGTTTCGATTCCTTCGCTCTGATTCCATAGCGACACCGCGTGTCCCATCACTAATTAATTAATAACTCGCTTATTATACGACACAACTCATCGAAAAGCAATCGGCTTCTGAGATATGATGAATGCACGTGCAAAATTTGGAGCAGATTCAACCTCGCTTTCGTGAGATATCGCGTAACATACGAAAGTGTCTAACAGACAAACAGACAAATACCTATCAACATACTTACCGATCGAGATCGATAAGTAACAACGAACGTTAGTCTTGACTTAGGTACCTTAGTATGCCTTCCACTTCCTCCGCTTGTTTTCTAACGGTTTCAACGTCATGAACTTTTGCTCTTCCAATCACACCTTGTTCTGTGGTATAAAACTTGGGTTAATTTCTTTCCACCTATTGGATTTTTCAGAGCCCGATATTTGCCCAAACGGTCGCGATAATATTCGTCAAATCCGATCATTTCATGCTTTCGCTCAACCCAATCAAAGGTGCATGCCTTGTCTAAAGCATCATTTAGAGTTTTAGACCACATTGAACAGATTTAATATTTTTTAATCTTTAGCATGCTTAACCGGTATTTTGAAATTTTATTCCTTACCAAATTAGAATTCGTAAATTTAGTATTAGTAGTATGTCGTGAGTTTAGTAGATTTGTAAAAGTGTTCAGGCTCCTTCACAAAAAAAATCTCAAAAAAGACAATCAATTTTTTTTGGAAAACACAGAAAACAATAATTCTTGAAGTCATAGCCTAGTAGTCGCCAAAATCTCGAGTAGAAAACTATGATGTTCATGGTACTCCTAAATTTCCACTACAGTACGTCTCCCCGTTTCATTAAGTGCTAACGCAAAATATAAAAGGTCAAACGCCGTCTCAACTTCTATTACATCATTCGATTTACCGCCCTTTTTCTTCTTGAAGAAATTCTTCAACTTTTTTTTCTTCTTTTTATCTTCCCTTTCTTACTTATAGAAGCGGTCTGGTACATTTTCACGTCGCTATCTTTGGTATGTGGGTGTGGAATGAGGTGCGATGGCAATCTAAAATTAGAGTCACTGCATTAGATTTGTAGGACCGACTGACTATGGAGGAGTCCCATCATGCAAAAGAATTGCGTCCATTTCGAATAGAAATAAGGATAATAGACTAAAACGGTACTCCCGAAGTATGTAAACCATGGCCGAACCCTAACCTGGTACACATACTACGTTCCGATGTCCGCCATCTTGGTTCATATACCTCGAGAGTACCACTAAAACAAGACAGCACTAAAACAAGCCCGAATATATGACACGAAGATCAAATAACTGACCGCAGTTACGCGACTCATAACAAAATGGGTCTGACTCTGCGCACCGAGTTCGTGAAATCGTAACAGAAGACAGCTTTGACGTAGGCCGCCACGCCTGGCGCAATAAAAACGGTGTTCCCATATATAAAAATAAAACAGCGAAATTTCGGATGGCATAACGGATCCCATAAGATTCATGCAATATTTGAGCACAAATAAAACGACAATTCAAGAAACGGTCCAATTCGCGTCCAATAAAGCCTTTACATTTCATCACCCTTTCATAAAACAAAATATCGAGAAAAGGTATTTTACTTTAAGAATCTTACAAGCCTGGTTAAGTTTACTAATTAACAACTGAAAAACGCGCAAGCCCTGTGAAAAAATGCGAGCGGCGAAGGTAACAGTGACCTCAAGAAGGCTATGGGTATTTCTCATTAGTGAATTTGTCAAAACAGAATGGGGAACATCACGCGCGGGTCTTATATCCGAACCCAAATGTTATTTAACCATAATTTTTGCAAACACTTCCGTCTCAGGGTCGTCGCATTGATCTTCAGAAAATTGGCATCTCGATTCCTTAACTTGCGTCTCAGTCAGTTATTACACGACCATTTTCCCTAATATCACTTAGGGTTAAGTTTATATGTTTAGGTGGCTGATGTTTATACTGGGGCTCCAAACCTAAATTTAGACGAAGATATTAGTAATGAATCTTTATGCTGTGCTGCTTTTTGCACCTTAATAAGTAAAAGCAACAAGATTAGCCAGTGCAACAAGTATTTAGGTATTTGAATAGGATGAAGACTTATTATTGAACCATCTTGTTGTGTTTAGGGTAAGGTCAAAACCACTTTAGGAATAGTTTAAAAAACGTCTATCGACATAGATTTACATTACTATCACAGTTTAACTACCTGTTTTCTTTCATTGGAACGGATTTGTTGGAATTGAGCGAAGATTGAGCTTCTAAAGACACTGAACGCTGTTTTGAGGTTGAAGGAGGCATCGTATCTCGTGTTCCCATTGCACCAATTTCTTTTATATCTTCCTGTTTTGAGTCGCGAATTGGGGGATCATATGAATCGATAGCGCCAATCTGTCGCGACATTACGGCATTGTTATTGTCTTTAGCACTTCTTTCGGAATCAGGGTTGCTTTCTGTAGAGTTGTTTGTTGATGCACCCAAGTCTATTTTTGGAATTTTGCTGGTCTTCAATTCACTCTTTTTTGCTTTGACGTTCTGTTTCATTTCTTTTTTTTCTCGTTTTTGTTCTTTTTTTATTTCTCCCTTTTTCATACTTTTTGTTGGTTTCATTAAAAATGGATTTAATTCCATATCTTCATCTTTCTTTTTTCCATTTTTAGTTATTTTTTCTGCCGATCCGAAAGGATTTAATTTATCAGGATAATCTGATTCTTGATTTTCTACCTTTTTTCTTATTTTATCTTTCGTTTTTGTCATTTTATCGATATTTAACTTTAGATTATACTATATATTCTGCAATACATTAAATATAAGATAAAGCATTAACTTGTGTAGTGCATACATATTGCTAGTATCTGATTTTATATTGTGCCAGTTTCACATTGTTAGAGCACTGGGGTTCAGTGGTTAAAGCCTGAAGATCAACAATAATTGCTAATCAGTTCACACAACTAGGTTCCAATCTCTTACCACCACCGCATTCTGGGTGTGATAAATTGCAAGAGCAGTTTCAAGTATTTTGGGGCGTCTGAAGCTGCCGCAAAACTATGGCGGGATTACCAAACCACGGCGACTGACTTTTTAGCTGTCACAAACCAATGGCGGGATGCCGGTACCACGACAGCAAATTGAAAGCTAATGGCGGGTAAAATTTTGCTGTCGTAACCAAGGCGTTTCGGCTGTAATGGCAGGGCTGCCCTTGATGGTGACAAATATTGCATGGGTAAGTTGGGAACATTTTTCCCATGAGTACAAATTTGATGTATTTTGGATTAGGTTTCAAGTTTAGGTAGATATATATAATTCTGCATGATAAACTCAAATCTGGTACATTACTTAGTGAATATACCCGTAATACTGATTACTGAATAACGCCATAAAGCCATAGCAAGAGACGCCGCGGTTCGTTCGTAGCAGAAGCTGCCATGATGTGATGGGAACTGCAAGTCATGAATTGAGCGGACAATGGCGAACGGGGTACAGCTATTTGAACCCTGTGCGAGATGAAAGCTTAATATCGAACCATCTTGTCGTGTTTAGGGAAAGGTCAAAATCACTCTATGAATAGTTTGAAAAGAGTCTATCGAATGATATAGAAAAATTCATGAAAAGATTAC